AACTATTTATGGTTGATTTTCTATTCTCCTTGATGGTTTTATCAACAGCCTTAGGAGCATCTACTGCAAACAAGAATGAGGCAGAAAAAGAGAAATCTGAAACCAAAAGGTTTTTGCACTTTAAACCCTTAAAATTCGAATTTCGCTACGCTCCATCCATGGTTCCTTGATTGTTACGTTACAGGAGGCACTTAAGAAGGAGATCAGCGAGAGTGAGATCAGCAGATCAAGAAGTGACAGAGAATCTGTTTGAAATTGAAGATCTGCAGCTCACATTGCCTAATAACATATGTCAACAAGATAACTCGACAATGACATCACATATCCGAAAGAAGGAAGCGGAAAAGGAAGATTTACGAACAAGACATCAGGACTATAAGTTCTATCGATCACCAGTCGATCAATCATTGCGTAGAGAAGCTGAGAGGATACATTCTTACAAGGAAGTTCTCTCCCAGTACTAATGGGATGGTCCTAATACATTAGCAAAACGTTTGTAGCTGTGATGGTTTTGTTTTGAGATTATATCAATCTCTAGACATGTGTACTTCTTGGTACGAAATGACTAACATATTTATCTATATATTGTTTGGGAATGTGACTTAAATTCTGTATATTAGAAGTTAGTTTAAGATCAAAAGTATGTTAGAAGTAGTCACAATATTATTCCAACTACTTAAATTCTGTTTTCAACCAAAGATCATGTTATCATTTTAATTTCCAACATATATGCATTATGAAATATGAAATTTTTTTTAAACAAGTTATCTTATCATAATTGTAATACTCAAAAAGCAATCTCTCTCCGGTCGATTTGTATGTTAATGGAAAAATGAATAGAAATCTTAATAATAACATATACAATTGACCATGATTATAATTACATATACATAGATTTAATCATTTAAATATGTACAGTTTAAATCTAGTATACTGAGTTTTCCTTTTTTTTTTTTTTGTCGTCTAGATTTATTAATTGCAAATTATGAGAACTGATACATAGACGATTCTACAACTGACAATTCCTTCCGATCCTTATTAGATCTACGACAGACTACACTTCCTTCTTCATAATCTTGATGAATACCTTCAATGATCCACGACCTGCCGACACTTCCTTCTCTGCGTAGAATCCTGGCGAACGGGGCTATAATTGTACATCGCTGGAGATCTCCTGCACACTTGCCTCTATTAATCTGCAAATTTGTTAATAAATCGCAATATCTGGGACTCGAACTTCAGACCTCTTGGTGTAGAAGCATTAATCAACCCTTGGTCAACCAATGGGCCAAGGGGGCTTCCACTTTCCTTTTTATTTAGTTATAAATTTCTTGCGATTTGTATGACTGGTTTTGTGATTAGTATTGCATGATCTGATTGAGATTAATTTGGTTAATTGATTTCGAATCTAATATAAATGTATTACTGTTTTTTAGCATGTTATCAATTTACCGGTGCAAGGTAATTATGTGTTTTGTAGATTTTTTTTTTGGACAAGCATTCACTCAAATGATAGAAAGTTTAACATCACTAGGAAGGTTATAACATGGTCACGAAGGGTCGAAGAATCCAACAAATGGTAAAACTAAAATCAGTCAACAATGCTAAAATAGAGACCTAGAGATAAAAGTGAACTCAAAAGCTGAACCAAACTTACATCCAAACAAGGACAACCGATAAAGAAAAATTCTTTAGCTTGGTAGTCCTGGGTGAAACCACAAATGAAACCACGAAAAGTAGGCGTCACAGCGAAGCTCCCATACCAGCTCAAAAACGCATTAGCATCATCGAAAAAAAGTATAGGGAATAAGCTCAGCTTCATACGATATCAAAACGCATACGAAAGCGGTCTCCGCCTATGGTTCCAAACTCGCAGCACCTAATCTTATTTTGGCTTTGTGATAGAACATAAATCTATCACACTCTTCAGCTCTCTATGATGAATTCATTGTAAAACAGTTTTTTTTTTTTTTTTTTGAATATAATTTTACATTCATTCTTAAAACCACGAAAAGGAAGAAACATAGTCTCTAGAATCGTTAAGGCCAAACAGTCAGAATCAGTGAACCGAGGCTTGGCTTATGTCTAATATGTTTGGAAACCTATATTTACTATTGTATTCTATGGCAATGTACCTCTATCATAGTTACCATGTGTTACTAGTTCGACTGAATCGTTGTCGAATATATTATTTTCGTGCAACTATATATATATATATTAATTACTTTGAGATAGATATTTTAATTTGTTTGTCAGAATAATTATACGTGCACGGTGCATCAATATGTGAATATTGTTTGCAACGAAAATAGAGCCAAATTAATACAAAGGTTTGAGTATACATTTTTGCTTGTTGAACGATAGTTAATTGCTTGTGCTGTTTAATCTCTACAAGTTATTATCAAACTTATTGATGGTAAATCAAGACATCAATAAATATACTTTGTATTTTTTCTACGTCACTTTGTATTTTTTTAATAACTCAAAAATTCTATCAAACTTTTAGAGCGTTACAAGTTACAACCAATTTCCAAACAGATTTATAAACTAATCCTGTTGAAATTGCATTCCACATTGAACCAAATGGAAAATATTTTGTTCTATCTAAAATTAGACCTCAATATGATTACTTCTTACCAAAGAAATTCTAGGGAGATGGGAACCAAACATGGCGGATGATGTCTTGCACCTAACCGTTCCAACTTCCAACACATTCTAGCTCTTTTCAGCTTTTTTTTTTCTTTTCCATTTATTACAATTACAAGTCAGAACGGTTATGTTTGTTTTCCTTTTTTGACATAAAGAGAAGAAATATCTAGCTCGATTCGTCACTATGGATACTTCCAAATATAGAGGTTTTATCTTGCAACTTCCACCTTTGGTTACAAAGATCAAAATTAGTGACAGTCTAAGCTTCAGATTATGAATCAGATGAAGATTAAGGCACAAAAAGAGACGCAAAGAAAAGCAACAAAATACGAAGAAAATGTGTAATTTCTGGTAACTTCATTGATTGGAGAAGGTGACTATACACAATTGGTAATCCAATAAGTTTAAAAAAAAAAACAAAAAAACTGAACTAAACCAAATCAAAATGTATACACATTATAAATATAGGTAGGCATGTCAATCGGGGTAACTCGACCGGATCCGAAACCCGCATATACAGTATTTGAGCTCGGCTCGGTCCGGTCAGTAAAAATTCAGAACCTATATCTTAAAGTCTAGTCCTGCTTTTCTAACAGGGATACAAAGCTTTTTGGACTTTTCTTTCCACAAAAGAAACAAACTTATAATTTATAACATATATCTCTTAAAAAAATCAGTGCATGAAATGAGTCAATCAAAATTTAAATAACCACTAACACCAATTTAGTTTTTTTAGAAAAGTTTAAAATAAAAAAATTGTTTAAACTCATACCAAATAAAATATAAAATCATAAGACTTTAAACTAGGTAGTAGAGCCAATATTTGCTCTTTAGATTTATTGTAAGACACAATTAGAAACCTAACTTTAGTGTTTTCAATTATATTAAAAACATTCTTAAACAAATTTACCAATTAAACGAAAATATTAACAAAAAAAATCAAGAATATCTTAAGGGCTTTTTGGGGTGCTCTGAGCCCGGGCAGACTAAGCCCAAAAAACTCTTTAGTCCGAACAGAATTAATCAAAAAGATCTGATTTTTTTGGTCATATATTTAAGTCCGAACCCGCTGTTTTTTCAGGGTTAGTCCAGACCAGCTCGTAGACTTTAGACCTAATGGATATGTCTAAATATAAGACGCCTTTCTATTAATACGTTGGTACTATTAGTATATTATACAAAGTAACATAATACCAAACAAGTAATTAGTTAGTTTTTGACAAAAAAAAATCATCGATTTGAATTATAAACACATCATATTCCGTTAATATGTAACAAATAAATTAAAAAAATTGCGGGGACGTCTTTATCAAAGATGATGTCGACAACCGAAATACACATACAAAAAGCCAAAGAGGAAAACAACACTTTGAAATAAGACAACAATAATTAACAAGAATATATTTCTTTCAATTTTAACTTATGAGGGTAATGAAATCTTCGAGAATTTAGATTGGGCTCCACACTATTCAGTGTGTTCACTATCTCTTTCGACGTTGGGAAAAGTGGTCATCATCATCATTATCCTCATCCTTGCTCATGCACCATTAACCGTCCCTTCTAGATTCTTGATTTTGTTCAATGGCCCCTCTTCGATTTTCATTTTGCTTATGTTATATAGATTATATAAAAGATTTTTTGAATTTTTTTAAAACACCACTAATTATAAAGCCGTAATTTGTTGCACTATCAATACGTTATACGTTCACCATTTCCTACCGTTTAATTTGTTTTGTTTGTGTCGAACAATATCTGCTCTAACCGCTTATTCCATGATCCATAATGAAAGTACAATGGTCCATTATTGTTTGGGGCTTCCAAGATTTTTTTGTTTATATATAAACATATTTTCCAGAATTGCTCTGTATATATATATATTTTAATTTATGCTAAAATTGATCATCCATAATTTTTAAAGTATATTTATTTTGTAATAGTCATGAGACATTACACACACACTAAGTATTTGAACTCTTGAAGTATTTGACCACTTAGCCAAATTATTTCCCAATCAACCGCTAACCATATAATTATGTCGATTTAGAGATTCACTTGTTAATATATAATTTCAACAAATAATTCAAGCCACCTTCGAAAGAACAACTTGCTTTCTTTTTCTTTTTTGGTTCACACAACAATACAATACCATATATATTAATATATGTGATCACACAATATTGCAACAATTATAAGAAATATACCAAATGGAACATTACAAAGTATTGAAAAAAACAAAACCTTTTTCGTTTTAATCTCAAATCATAGAGGACCGGACGCTCAACTGCTTCAATTTAGTTTCCAGTGTGGACCCGTCACAAGACCTCCCATTATTAACTTAATGTATGTTTGATAATGCAAAATAAAAATTATTAAAACCTTTCTTTTGTTTGTTTGTTTGTTTTAGCATTCTGGTGTTTGGGTATGGTCTCTTTTCGGGTCATGGCAATAGTTATAGACCAAGAAGTTCCTCTGTGCCCATGCCAATGCCGCCATCTGCTGCCGGCTCAACCCACGGTTGCTGATTGGTGCAGGCGATGGCGGTCTGCATGAGCTAGAGCTATCCGCTGTGCATCCGGCTAGCTTAAAGTTTTTGTACTTAGCCACAAATGGTTGGTATCGATAGTCGGCTTTAATCCTTCCATTTTCCGTGGCCCAGTCCGAGGCATCCCATATCGATCCATACACCCACATCGGTCTAGTGGGGAACGTAGCTTCATTCTTTCTATCATATGTACGTATCGGTATATCGTCTACGAAGAATCTGTATACATGTAAAATTTGTCCAATTTAGTATATCAAACAAATAAAAAAATGTGTATACTTAACATAAGAATTCTTGACTTACACAATTTGGTTAGGGTTCAACAAAATTGCGTAATGGTGAAAATCTTGAGTAGGGTCAAACCACAAGGTAAATTTCATTTCTCTTCCTATGACATTTCGGTCGCCACTTCCTCTAGCGAATACATTCGTTTGAAGAGAATAAGGCTTCCCTGGCGTCGTCCCTAGAAACTCGATATCAACCTCGTCGTGGTCTCCAGGATGCTCTTGGTTGTTTGAGAGCTAGAAATCGAAAAATTGTTAGGAAATTTAGAATTTTAGTAACGTTTTAACAATTATTAGATGGTTAATTAATTAGTTCGATCATATACTTACGTAGAGGGATGTATCAACTCCAGCCGTGAAGCCTGGTTGGAGCTTAATGGAAGCACCAAAGTAGCCCGACCGGTATGGACGAAGAGACTTGAACCCACTCCCTGTTCATGTTCACATTTAATCAGTCACTAAAATCAATTTATTACATACGACAAAAATAATTGTTATGACTAATATGACTAAATTAATTTTAAAAGAACTAAATGGGAATAAAAATAATAAATATAAGCTACCGACACAGTCCTACAAGTCGTGCGGTGTATTAAATAACACTCGAAAAACTTGAGTGAGTGAGGTTTGACAAAGAAATCGCCACTAACCTCAATTGATTCTAATCAATATTTACATTCATTAATTTTTTTTTTAATGTTTTGTTCCAAATGAATAGCATATAATCTCTTAGTACATTTTATAATATGGACCAATGAATTGAGTCAATAAATTTGGTTAAAAATGAAAAGAAAAAGACCAGTGGATTTGTCGAGCCAAAGAGTGATAACGTCTTGCTCTCTACGTTGGTGTTGAGAGCCCCATAAAGTACGGAATTCGCGATCAAAAGATGAAGTCGCTACTCGGGAACTCGGGTAGTATCCCGGTGAAGGAGAACCCTGGCTAAGACCACTACTAGGGCACAACACTAAGAGAGCTAGAAAGATAAGAGACAAAGCCATTTCTGAAGTGAAGTAAAGCCTTTTGAGTGGTTACTACAAAAGGGGGAATAAACACATTTAAGAGAGACAAATATGTATGAAATGAATGAAGAAAAGTGAGAGAAGGCAGGTGTGTATAAATAGAGAGTTATGCGGGTCCGACAGTTATAGGAGTGAGTGACTGTTATCCGTCGATTGGATGGGCCTTTTGGATTGATCCCATGTCAAAATATGAAACATTTAATGTCAACTTATATTCTTATATTTTTATCAAAAAAAAAAAAACTTACATCATATAATGAACTAATAAAGAAAACGAAGTAAGAAAATGAAAAATACAAGAAAAGGAAACTGAGGAAACTTATAATTTTTCATATAGAGATGAATTTTTTTTTGAACAGAATATAGAGATGATATTTAAAAATTGTTTTTCTTTATTGAAAGTATAACCGTACAATTAGTTCTAGTGTACTCGTAACGTATACACATACATAGTATCACGCCATTCAAAGAGATTTTTTTTTTTTTTTTTGGTAAAACAATTCAAAGAGATTTTGTTCCTCTTCCTCAAAAGATTATAGATCTAAGTAGTGAAACAATGGAGGCAAACAATAGATCTAAGTCTATTTTTTCTATGACAAATCTTCTAGCAATGGGTATAATATATAAATTTATTACCTTCCACAGATTTACCTAAAACATCTATCTTCACTACCATCACGACAGTCCACCAAAACGAACAAATTTAACTAAAACAGGTTTTAATGTATATTATTATACAATCTGACCCACTATTTAATCAAATGCATTAATTTAGGATTATTTAAAACCTATATCCAAAGTAATTATGTTTTATGCATAAAGTCATATTTTTGTCTAAAAATATTGTTGTCATCCAAAAATTCTCAATGGTTTTAAATCAAATAAGCATGGTTCTAATAATACAGTATGGACTAAACAAATATTTTACTGTAAGTTAATTTTACATTTTCAGTAATGTGAAGTAAGAAACTGTCGGTTCAAAAGCATTAATATATTTATTTTTTAAAGGAAAAGAATGAGAACGTATATAAATAGAATACAATGAACATACCCATTTTATGACCAAGAAAAAAAAAAACATCATTTCACATATGAAAATGACATGTTTTCAGCGGCCTATTAAAAAATAACATTATCTTTGTTAATATAAATTTGAACCCATTTCATTTGGGTTTCTGTTTTTTTTTTCTTTTAAATATTAGGATAAAGTCGAAGATGTAACATGTTTGGTCAATTTCCTATCGGAGGTCACATGCATGGATAAGAAACTAGATCACTCCAATGTAGTTTCATAGCTTTTTAGATTATAAATTTATAATAGTTTATCAATAAATCTAGCTCAACTCTAAAAGTTTATAAGAATCTGCATGTAAATCAATACACAATTGTTTTGCAAACGGATCTTAAAATTTTATTGGAAAGAAAGGGATATGTATTTCTTTATCTAATTATAATATGTATTCAGGCTAAGTCGAAAGTTGAAAATATGGTTAGTTTGACTTCTTTTATTTGACGTTGTAGTTAATTAATTGACATACTTATAGGTAATATAGACACAGATTTCCTAACGTAGCAGTTTATGAAAAATATAAAGGATTAATAAATAAATAGATAAAGAGAAATTAGATTATTGTTTTGTGGAAGTCCTATATCCACTAGTTTGCCCAATAATTAATTGATCCTTTTATACAATGTATAGGATTTAAATTTGTAAAGATTATAAAATATTGCAATTAATGGACAAGTTTACTACTTTTAATTGATTATCTTTAATTTGAACGTGCATAAAAGATTATGAAATTTAAGATTCTTGTTTACTTAGTATAATTAATATCAAAAAGTTTCAAAGCGTGTACATGTTCATGAGTTAGAGTATCTTAATTAATAGTATATGAAATAAGTTCAAGACGGATTTTCGGATCTATCGGATGGTTGAATTTGTTTTCATTGGAGATTCAATGGTAATGGTAATGATCTTTTCTAAGAGAATAACTTGGTCATGATCACTTCAAAAATAACAAAAGCGAGGTTAACATAACTAAGTAGAGAATCCGTAACTGTCCATGAAAAGTAAACTTCTGTGGCTTAATATATTTTATTATCTAACATTTGAAGTTAGTTCAATAAAAATTCAAAAAAAAAAAAAAACATTTGAAGTTGGTTATGGTATTGGAATTGGACTTGTTGATAATAAAATCAGGTAGCTTAGGTAGTTAGGTGCATGAATCATGCCGAGAAAAGCTACTTAATGTACGGAAATTAATATTAACTATAACATGATTCACTATTAATAATCAGAAAGAGACATAATAATTATCAATAGTTTGATGTCAAAACAATAACAATTTCAAATTTACCGATGCCGATGATTACTCTATCTGTTTCTTAGTGTTAGGATGGATTCAGAAAAGAATAAAAAAAAACTATTGTACTTTTATGTAGGATGGATTCTAAGGAAGTCCATTTCTGCAAATACAAAAACAGATAAAATAAATGTTTGGTGAGGTTTGTTGTAAGTTAATCTAATAAGCTTTAAGAACTAAATTCATAAAGCACGATAACATTAATTTTTGGTTGGCTAAAGAAGTTTTTCTTATCTAATAATATATCTATCAATTCAATATCATTTGTGGTTGCTTGAGGAATTATATCATGGGCAGTAGTTAAATTAGCCTAGTGTAACTAAGACTTTAAGAACAATCAAATATAGAAAACTAGAAGAATAATTCATAAATAAAAAATTGTAAATAAATTTAAATAAATATTCTTTTAAAATTTCTACACTTAATGATAGAACTACTCACACATGATTAAGGTAACTATAATCATTATAGAAGACAGGGTCAAGAGTTTAAGAAAATATTATCAAAATGTTCTAACAATTATTAAACAAAACTAATGAAAGGAGAAGAACACATTAGAAACTAGAAATCGTATAAAAAAAGTATGTCTCTACAGCTACAGAGTAAAGAGTATATATAGGTTATAGGACACAACCCTAAAAATAAGAAATTTGTTTTTCATAAAACATAATCGATCGGTTTGCAGCACATTTTATACCGACCGACCGGTTCAAATATTCAATATTCTTTTTTTTTTTTACGCGTTTTGCTCCATTTCCTCTTTTAAACACCTAGTTTTACAAAACAGGTAAAAAAACTTAAAACTACTAAAAGACATCGAAAACTATACTAAAGCTCTTAAAGTGTTTAAAATATAATTAACAAACATCCATGATCCATGCGATGGACAGACTCGAAACCACGACGAACGGTTATGCCTGCCACACTCTGAACCTTGGATAAGTTTTGACTATTAACATGCAAAAACTGCGTTTTTTAGTAATCGAACCCCTTAGCTTGTATAAAATATTAATGCATTGGTCAACCATTGGATCAATGGGACTTCCACAAAGAAAATTATTTTGAAATTAGTACTTGTGGACAGTATATTGAAATACCACAATTATCCTCAAATTAGATTTACTTTAGAAAATTAAAAGAAATGATATTTGGGGTTAAAAATTTAGATTTTCAGTTCAAAAAAAAAGCAAATTATAAAATAAGATATTTAGTTAATAAAAATCGAATTAAATAATTTTTAAAACATATATTTTCAGTGGACATTATTTTGAAGATAAAATATAATCCACAGAATTAACATTCCACCCACTTTGAACCAATTAATTTTCACAAAAACAATTCCCACCCAACATGCACCAAATACTTTACATGGGAATCGATCAGTGAGTGTATAAGTTAGACTAAATAATGTCGACGAGTACCATCCACCGTCCACCAATGGCCGAAGAATGTTACAATGGATCCGTTGAAGGTATTTATGACAGACAATGAATGGTTTTTGTTGAAAATATTTGGTCAATGGTACATGATGTTGGGAACATTTATTTGGTCAATCGATTGTTTTCCTATTTTCATGTAAAATTTATTTATTGAAATTTTTAATCAACTAAAAACATTATTTCCTAAACTTTTAGGGAATCTAAATTGAACGAACTGAATGTTTTCTTTTATATCAGCTGGTTTTTGTTTTTAACTTTCTTAAGAAGAAAAATGTCTACTAACCTTTTGTTTTTTGGATAATCGATATGAAAAAACTTATAAACGGACATTATATGGGTATATAATTAAATCCGTTCATATCCGAACATACATCAAACGAATGAAAACCAAGCGGTAAGGAAAACGCATAGTTCGCTAATCCGTCAGATAGACGATTAGCTTCCCTATACACATAAGAAATACGGACTATTCAGTCTCTCGATATAAAGTCATTGCATAAACATACTATGAAAGACAGCAGAAGATCCATGTCGTAAGAAAACCCAAGTAATCCATGTCGTTAGAAAATCCACAAAACTGTGGAGAAACGTGACAAACGTCCACTAACCTTTCATTGAGTAAAACAATATTATTTCCTCAAATTATTACTATAAATTACTCATTTTTTATCTCTAATTTTAAAACTTAAAACTACCTAATTGTAATAAATTATCCTTAAACTTTTGATCCTACTTTTCTATATCACAAATCCAATAACAGTAAAACTATACTTCTATTTAATTTATACTAAGTACCATGATTAAATAAGGTTCCCTTCAAAATTTCAGTTGCTTCTATCATTTTCAAAAATAACTTTGCAGATAAATAATCTGAGTGGGGGAAATATTGGAATCTAAAGCTTAATTAGAAATGTGCTTACCGACAAAATCTGAGTGGAAAAAATATTAGAATCTAAGCTTAATTAAGTCGTGTCACATTGTCACTTCAACAATTGTGAAGAACATTCTATTCTCTTCGGTATTGAGAGTCAGAACAAAACATTTTCCATTATAAATTCTACAACCATTGATAGTGTTTTTTTCATAAGAAACATTAATCTTTTCAATACCAGACCCAAAGTACGTTAAGTGTTTCACTGTAAGAGACTACTAATGCAACTAAAACATATAAACAACTAAATCTGGTTTGCGGAGAAAAAGAACCAACTAAATCTGGTAGGTATTATCAACAAAATAGCGTTGAGATTTGTCGGTAGAGCAAGAAGACTTTTGATCTTGTAAGTTGAGCAGTCATGATCTCAGATATTAAATTTAACCCTAGTTGCTTATAAAAGTTAGATGATGAAAGTTTTGCATGGAAAGACGTTAATATATATTATAAATTCGTTTCAAGGTGCACATTTAAATTGTTAAAATTGGTATCAAGTTCTTTAACTTTTAACTTTGGTATCATAGAATTCCATTTATTAACAAATTAATGAAGATTAGAGTACGTACTGAATTAGGTAGATGACGTTTATCTGAGAAGAAATTTGGTGAATATAACTATGCAAATAAAGTTTTGGATTTCTAACGTTATTTGATAAGATGATACGCTATTTTCCCACGTAGTAGCGATGCAAGTATAATTTTTGTTTTTGTTAAAATGAAAGAATAACTTTTACGTGGAATCTGTGGAGACGTTTTATTCTTTTTCATTTTAATGATATATAGAAATTGTTAGTAGTCGACAGATATAGCATAATATTTTTGTAAAAATTATTTACGACTTTCTAAAATCACCATAACAGAGAAGACACACAATTTTTTAACGAGATTTTTGATGCAACTATGGGGGAAAATATTTTAGTTTCGCAAAAATATCATAGTTTTTGCAAAATTCACACGTGTTTCGTAATTTACAAAAAAAAAAAAAGAAAAAAAAAAAAACATGCTATATGATTGCATATCTTTATTTTCATGAATGTCATACTATTTTACTATTATAGTGATTAACATGTCTACGGAGATGAAATAAACAAGAATACTTTCGTATAGAATCGCTACGACTCTACGAGAGCCGACGGATGAGATATTAGTTCATGACGAAAACGAAGGTCAGGGTATTAACCAAAAATCTTGTTAATATTCTACTCATTTTAGATGCTAAACTATAAATTATATACTGCCATTAGCCTATTACCTATTAATGAACGGTCTGTTTTTGTATTTTAAGATAAACTATATCTAAAAATGACAAAATTATTAAAAAAAAAAAAAAAAATTATTATATGGGAGATTGATGAGTTCTACTTGTGTCTCTCTCCTCTCTATTCCTCTTCTTTTGATCGCAACCTCGTGCACCGTGTAAAGAAAGGATTTCCTTCGGCGATAATTCCGGTGTCGATGAGGAACCCATGGTCCAAAGCGCGTTATCCGTAGTCCGTTGTACCTTACCGGCGAAGTCACTAGATCAAAATCATGAGAGTTTGTGGTGGGGAGAAGCTTCTGTGAGATGTTACCGGTAGGAGCTAGCTCTGTCGGCGGTGTGGTGACGTGGAGCAAAGAAGGAGGTTTCGGCGAGGAACGAGAAAGGTCGGCGGTTAGTTCTGAACAATTGGAGGTACATGAGGTTTTTTCACGGCCGGCGTTGTGATGGGGGAGGTCTATGGCCGGTAAGAGAAAGCTATGCCACCGTCGATGGTTGTCTTCTTCAACTCCCTACTTGTAACGCCCCGACCGCCATCTCTCTTAATGGGTCCCACGATCTCTCTCGGCCCGTGGGCCCACCATCTTCTGACGGTTGGTCCGCTATGTCCGGGAGGCTTTAAAGACTTACTTACCGACCCTACAAATTACCACATGATCTTTCTCTGTGTTTTGTCCTCACTCACACAGTTCCGACAATCACTTCCCGGAAGGTCACCCATCCTGAAATTGTTCAAGCTCAAGCATGCGTAACTATGGAGTTCTCTCATGACGGTTGACCGAAAAGATAAGTGCACTTTGGTGACATAGGTGGCCAAATCAATTCTTTTAAACCTCTCCGCATGCACCACAATATTCCTCAAACCGGGATGTTACACTACTACTTTATCTGTCTCACGACTGAGCTATGGTTTTCAGACGGTCTTGATCGGTTTCTTCTTTCTTCTCTTCACAGCTCTCCGGTGGTGGGATGGTGATGGTCATGTGTTGCCTTCTGCGCTCGACTCCAGTCTTCCTGGCTCACCGGTGGTCCTGTTCCAACGAGTATCCGCTACTTCATGGGAAGGCGGCTTCGATCGGTTCTCCGATAGAAGATTCGGGTTTCTGTGTTCCTCGTTCAGATCAGTTATCTGCTGGTTTAGATTGGTTTTATTTCCGGATCGGTTTTGGTTTGGTTTTCTGGCTTGGTTTGAGTAATTGGATTGGGTCTTAAGGAGATTATTGTATGGGCCTATTCCGAAAATAGTCCAATAGACATATGTTTTTAATAAAATTGCAAGCGTTTATAAAATAAAAATAAAAAATGGAAAAAATTATCTCATTTTTAAAGATATTATTTTTTACAAAAATCAGGAGATATCATATAAAACTAAATTTAAGTAAATAACAATAAGTCATTAAAATAAAATAAAATATGTGATATCAAATAAAACCAGTTAATAGTGATCCAGTTTAATATGATTTGAAAGGATACATCCAAAATATTAGTTACTATTAGAATTTAATGAAATTAAAACGATATGATCTGAAAAGATTTGTTATTCATCAATCAATAAATTATAATATATATGACAAACCTATAATTTGAAAGCATATATGTTTAGCACTTACTATTATCTAGTTCTGATTTTTTTGAAAATTTTGTTTTTTTTTCGTATAACCTAATTTTGGAAAAAAAAAAGTACAATTGGAACGTTCTCTCATCTTAATATGAGATCATTATAACATCTCACCAAAAAAATACTCACTGCAGCAATACAACGATAAGATATTAAGATTGTTTCTAGAGTGATGTTATATGAGAGTTAAAAATTCTCGAGAAGAACAACGATATGATTAACCAAGTGGTAGTGGTCCGTGATTTCTGTTGGAGTATTAGAGTTGAATTGGTCTTTTAGCTTTAGTTAGAATGAGTCTTTAAGTTGTTTTTCAAGTTTGAATAAGCTCCTGGTTTGTAGGAGTCAAGTAGTAGTGGTCCTAGTCATTAGTTTACTTCCGCAAGTTTCTCATTGTTTAGTTGTAGGAGACTTAGTCTTCATGTCATTGGCTATTTAAGGCCCACCAATTCTCAGCAATAAGCAATTGCAGTATTTGAGAAAACCTGCAACTTTATTTTCTACATGTCTGCAACTTTATTTTCTACATGTGGTATCAGAGCCATTTTCAAATGAAATATCTTTGAGTGAAAAAAAAAACGAGTGAGAGAAAGAGGAGTGAGAGAAAGAGTGAGTCGTTGAGTGAGAGAAAGAGTGAGTCGTTTAAAGAGGAGTGAGAGAAAGAGTGAGTCGTTGAAAAGAAAACGAGTGAGTGAAAGAGGAGTGAGAGAAAGAGTGAGTCGTTTAAAGAAAAAGAAAAAGGGAGAGAAAGAAGAACAAAGAAATGTCAACATCATCCGAGAAGTTTGTGCAGCCGGCTATTCCGAAATTCGACGGCTACTATGACTTTTGGTCAATGGCGATGGAGAACTTTCTAAGGAGTAGAGAGATGTGGAGCCTGGTGGAAGAAGGGATTTCGGCAATGGCGATCGGGTCATCACCAGCGAATGAAGCTCAGAGAAAAGCTGTGGAAGAGGCAAAGCTCAAGGATCTTAAAGTCAAGAATTTTCTGTTTCAAGCCATTGACAGAGAAATTCTTGAAACAATCCTTGACAAAGGAACTTCAAAAGCGATTTGGGAATCGATGAAAAGGAAGTATCAAGGTTCAACAAAGGTGAGACGAGCACAACTCCAAGCGTTGAAAAGAGAGTTCGAGTTGCTCGCTATGAAGGAAGGCGAGAAGATAGACACCTTCTTGGGAAGAACCTTGTCTGTGGTAAACAAAATGAAGATCAATGGAGAAAGCGTGGAGCAGAGCACAATTGTGAGCAAGATACTCAGATCATTAACCAGGAAATTCAATTATGTTGTGTGCTCAATCGAGGAATCAAATGATCTGAGTACGCTAACTATTGATGAGCTACATGGAAGCTTGTTGGTTCATGAGGGAAGGATGCAAGAACCTCAGGAGGAGGAGCATGTCTTGAATGTGTCTCAAGACGAACGTTCCAGTTACGGAAGAGGACGAGGTAGCTTACGAGGCGGCCGTGGCAGAGGTCGAGGAAGAGCTACGCCAGACAAGGCATCCATTGAGTGTTTTAAGTGTCATAAATTAGGACATTTCCAATATGAATGTCCTGATTGGGAGAAGGGAGCATATTATGCAGAATTGGAGGAGGACGTACTTTTGATGGCTCAAGTTTCATTTGAAGAGGAGGAATGCAGGGACAAGAAGATTAAACTGGATGCTTTTGTTAGCATTTCCAGTTTAAAGGAGGGTATGTTGGAGTATTAGAGTTTAATTGGTCTTTTAGCTTTAGTTTGAATGAGTCTTTAAGTTGTTTTTCAAACTAAAGCTAAAAGACCAATTCAACTCTAATACTCCAACATACCCTCCCTTAAACTGGAAATGCTAACAAAAGCATCCAGTTTAATCTTCTTGTCCCTGCATTCCTCCTCTTCAAATGAAACTTGAGCCATCAAAAGTACGTCCTCCTCCAATTCTGCATAATATGCTCCCTTCTCATAAATTAGGACATTGCAGAATTGGAGGAGGACGTACTTTTGATGGCTCAAGTTTCATTTGAAGAGGAGGAATGCAGGGACAAGAAGATTAAACTGGATGCTTTTGTTAGCATTTCCAGTTTAAGGGAGGGTATGTTGGAGTATTAGAGTTGAATTGGTCTTTTAGCTTTAGTTTGAATGAGTCTTTAAGTTGTTTTTCAAGTTTGAATAAGCTCCTGGTCTGTAGGAGTCAAGTAGTAGTGGTCCTAGTCATTAGTTTACTTCCGCAAGTTTCTCATTGTTTAGTTGTAGGAGACTTAGTCTTCATGTCATTGGCTATTTAAGGCCCACCAATTCTCAGCAATAAGCAATTGCAGTATTTGAGAAAACCTGCAACTTTATTTTCTACATGTCTGCAACTTTATTTTCTACATGTGGTATCAGAGCCATTTTCAAATGAAATATCTTTGAGTGAAAAAAAAATGAGTGAGAGAAAGAGGAGTGAGAGAAAGAGTGAGTCGTTGAGTGAGAGAAAGAGTGAGTCGTTTAAAGAGGAGTGAGAGAAAGAGTGAGTCGTTGCAAAGAAAACGAGTGAGTGAAAGAGGAGTGAGAGAAAGAGTGAGTCGTTGAGTGAGAGAAAGAGTGAGTCGTTTAAAGAAAAAGAAAAAGGGAGAGAAAGAAGAACAAAGAAATGTCAACATCATCCGAGAAGTTTGTGCAGCCGGCTATTCCGAAATTCGACGGCTACTATGACTTTTGGTCAATGGCGATGGAGAACTTTCTAAGGAGTAGAGAGATGTGGAGCCTGGTGGAAGAAGGGATTCCGACAATGGCGATCGGGTCATCACCAGCGAATGAAGCTCAGAGAAAAGCTGTGGAAGAGGCAAAGCTCAAGGATCTTAAAGTCAAGAATTTTCTGTTTCAAGCCATTGACAGAGAAATTCTTGAAACAATCCTTGACAAAGGAACTTCAAAAGCGATTTGGGAATCGATGAAAAGGAAGTATTAAGGTTCAACAAAGGTGAGACGAGCACAACTCCAGGCGTTGAAAAGAGAGTTCGAGTTGCTCGCTATGAAGGAAGGCGAGAAGATAGACACCTTCTTGGGAAGAACCTTGTCTGTGGTAAACAAAATGAAGATCAATGGAGAAAGCGTGGAGCAGAGCACAATTGTGAGCAAGATGCTCAGATCATTAACCAGGAAATTCAATTATGTTGTGTGCTCAATCGAGGAATCAAATGATCTGAGTACGCTAACTATTGATGAGCTACATGGAAGCTTGTTGGTTCATGAGGGAAGGATGCAAGAACCTCAGGAGGAGGAGCATGTCTTGAATGTGTCTCAAGACGAACGTTCCAGTTACGGAAGAGGACGAGGTAGCTTACGAGGCGGCCGTGGCAGAGGTCGAGGAAGAGCTACGCCAGACAAGGCATCCATTGAGTGTTTAAAGTGTCATAAATTAGGACATTTCCAAAATGAATGTCCTGATTGGGAGAAGGGAGCATATTATGCAGAATTGAAGGAGGACGTACTTTTGATGGCTCAAGTTTCATTTGAAGAGGAGGAATGCAGGGACAAGAAGATTAAACTGGATGCTTTTGTTAGCATTTCCAGTTTAACGGAGGGTATGTTGGAGTAGTTGAATTGGTCTTTTAGCTTTAGTTTGAATGAGTCTTTAAGTTGTTTTTCAAACTAAAGCTAAAAGACCAATTCAACTCTAATACTCCAACATACCTTCCCTTAAACTGGAAATGCTAACAAAAGCATCCAGTTTAATCTTCTTGTCCCTGCATTCCTCCTCTTCAAATGAAACTTGAGCCATCAAAAGTACGTCCTCCTCCAATTCTACATAATATGCTCCCTTCTCATAAATTAGGACATTGCAGAATTGGAGGAGGACGTACTTTTGATGGCTCAAGTTTCATTTGAAGAGGAGGAATGCAGGGACAAGAAGATTAAACTGGATGCTTTTGTTAGCATTTCCAGTTTAAGGGAGGGTATGTTGGAGTATTAGAGTTGAATTGGTCCTTTAGCTTTAGTTTGAATGAGTCTTTAAGTTGTTTTTCAAGTTTGAATAAGCTCCTGGTCTGTAGGAGTCAAGTAGTAGTGGTCCTAGTCATTAGTTTACTTCCGCAAGTTTCTCATTGTTTAGTTGTAGGAGACTTAGTCTTTATGTCATTGGCTATTTAAGGCTCACCAATTCTCAGCAATAAGCAATTACAGTATTTGAGAAAACCTGGAACTTTATTTTCTACATGTCTGCAACTTTATTTTCTACAATTTCTATTTGAGGAGTTCTCTATTGGGGCAGAAATTGATTCCCATCAAACTTTGAAAGTATATCTAATCATATTCTTATGGGGCTTTTGCAAAAATGCCCCTTTTTCAATGCCACTTTTCAAAAATGCCCCTTCTTTAAAACCTTATAAAAAATGCTCCTAAAATATAAGATTTACCCAAATATGTATGTAACATTATTAAAACATACACAAATAAGTATCTAAAATCTTATAAATACTTTAAAATATCTTGTAAAACCTTTGAAAAACCTTTAAAATATCTTGTAAATACTTTAAAATATCTTGTAAAACCTTTGAAAAACCTTTAAAAACCTTTAAAATATCTTGTAAAACCTTAAAAAAATACCTTATAAAATCTTATAAATACTTGGATCGAGTCTTCAAGTAATAGTTACCATCCATAAGTACCTTATAAACCTAATAAAATTTTATAAATTTTTCATATTTAAAAAGGGGCATTTTTGAAAATGGACATCTAAAAGGGGCATTTTTGAAAAGGGGCACACCAAAAGGGGCATTTTTAACAATTTCCCTATTCTTATTTGGTCAGTCAAAATAGTGTTATATTTTACGTCCATTAAACCCCGGTGAATAGATTACTCGAAGGATACAATCACCTAAAAAATTAGTCGGATATATATTAAAAACCCGGATCACCGCTGGTTCAAAAAACAATAACAACAATATAATACTAAATCATTTCTTCTTTTCAGCTACGATTCTCCTAGTAATTGTTTACTTACATTCAAGGGCGGAGGTACATGGTGCATAGGGGGGTCAGTTGACCCCAATAAATTCTTATAATTTCATTGTATTAGGTTAATAACAATTATAATGACCCCGCTGTAAAATATTTTTTGACCCCTATGCAAAAAAATTGAACCCACAGAAAAAATAAAGAGAAGTTAATCTACTTGTATTAATGTAAAGATTTAAGAATAGATAGTAGTGTAATTAACTATGATTTACATAAAAATTTTGAAAATCTACCGAACTAGTTTTTGTTTCTTTTCTATGATTTGACTCAAAAGATTTTTTTTTTTGTTCGTGTTTAGTTAGAAAAGAAATAGCCATTCAATAACAAGTGATTAAATCATTGGCGAGTAAGAGCCCAAAGTCTTTGAATGGCTATTACATTTCCAATAATTCCATCAACAAAAGAAACCAAACAACACTCGCAAATGATTGCTCCATAGTTGTTACATAATGATTTGTTTATTAAAGTTGATAATAATTAACAAATCAATGATCACGTTACTAAAAATAAATAAAGCAATGACCCGATGGCTTCCTTTTCAAAACAAAACCCGGATATTTTAAGTCGTTTTCTTGTTGACAATGACTATACTAATAATAATATATATTTCGAAAAACAGTGTAATTAAACTGCCGCCATATAAACAAAAATCTTAAACAGTGTAAACAAACTTAAAATTCTCCTCATTTGCGTTTTAAAAAAAAATATTAAAAAAGAAAGGTTGTAACACAATCTTGAAATACTAGTCCATCATATAAAAAACATTTTAGCAAAAAAAAAATTAAATCTAAATAAACAGTTGAGATCCTGATCTCGAATGAAATGAAAAATTATGTTATCTAGGACAATATCATATGATTAATGTCTATACTATAAAATATAAAATACAATTATCTGTTGTAATTTTGATAAATATAGAAAACTATATTATAATATGTAATTTTTTAGTTGAGATGAATATTATAGTATATCATATTTTTAATTATATAATATTAAATTAGGACCCATCCGATGTGCGGGTTTTTGATTTTTATTATAATATTAAATTTAATAAAAACCGAATTAAATGTTTCTCGTAGTTGAATGTTATTTAGAAATCTTTTTTTTTTTAAAAAGAAAATAATTTACTAAATAAAAAATTTATTTACCTTATGCGGGTGTAATTTCTAAAGTAATACCAGTTTTTAAAATGCATTAAAATTCATAAAGTAAAACGCAAAAATTATATTCTAACATCCTCACTAAGAAATCTAAAATTCATTTTTTTTTCTGTTTTCATTTACGAATAAAATTACAATACACCCATAAATACAATTTGTATCCAACTAAATTAATGTTAAATAACTTATATTGTTCTTTTGAACTTCAACAATCATTTTTTTTGGTTCGTATCCATGCTGAATATATTAAAAGTTTTTGATAGATGTCAAAAATTGACCAATAAAAGTTTATTGATAGATGTAAGAACTAAACACTTTGGGATTCACTGTATTTATATTCAAAATCTTCAATATTGTTTTAGTAACAAAATAATTGAAGTAAAAAAAAAACTAATTTTTGTTTTGGGTGTTTTGGAATTGGAAAATCAAAAATTTCAAAAAGAAAGAAATCAAGAAGGATGACAAAAAAAAAAAAAAAAAAAGAAATCAAGAAAGTGATGAACATACTAAAACGGAAGCAAAACATTCGTCAGTAAGAAAAATAAATTTGGGCCTACCTCAAATTCAATTTGAGTTCCTATCTCCAAATTTGGGCTTTTATTATTAATGAAACGAAGAAGCCCAAAGTTGGACCTATTTTATAAACACTGAAAACATTCGTACTAAAAAGTGAAATTTTGAAACTTTGAGGACTCTTTGTCAATTTTTCATGGATTCTTCTTCTCTCTTTGAACTGAAGAAACAGAATTTGAAATGATATATATAACTAAACAAGACAAAGTTCAAAGAACTTTTTGTGTTTCTGAATTGGAAAATCAAAAATTTCAAGAAGTGAGAAAAAATGAAGAGAGTGATGAAATTCTTTAAGCGAAAGTCTGATCCTAAGCAAAAGCTTCGAGATTGGCAACGAAAGCTACGACAAGAAGTCCGTAACATTGAGCGCCAAATTCGAGGTTCTTGTTGCTTTTTTCTTGTATTGATCAGATTCTTAGGAAAGTTTCGAACTTTGAGGAATTTGGTTAGTTATATGATGATTTAGATTGATGGGTATCTTCGATTTAAAGGGTTTTAGTTTAAAGATCCAATTTTTGAGAACTTGTTCTTCATTGGAGTTATGATCGAATGGTAATGATGACTATTAAAGTGTGTTCCTTTCTTACGAAATTGCTTGAATTTGATCGTTTGGGTTTGGGTTTAGGGTTTGTGGATTAGGGTTTTTCACTGAGTGAGTGTTCGTTTTCAGATATTGAGAGAGAAGAAAGAAATGTACATAAAGCTATCAAAGACTCGGCGAAGCGGTATGATATGGTCACTGCTAAGGTAAAGTATGAAACTTTCTTAGTAAATCTGATCAATGGTGGAAGAAATTGGAGTTTTAAAGTGTAAAGGCTCTGTTTCTCTGTTTTGTGTTAAGGCACTTGTTAGGGAAATAGTGAGATCGAGAAGAACGGTTAAGCGGCTATACGAGAATAAAGCGAAGATGAATTCAATATCAATGCATCTTAGAGAGAGTATTGGTAATGATCAAAAGCTTTACTTGGTGTTTTTCATTGTTGTTATATGATGTGGTTTTTAGATTGTTGTTTACATTTGTTTTCGTGTTGCAGCGATTTCGGGAACAGTTGGGCTTCTTTCGAAGAGCGGTGAGGTTATGAAGCTTGTTAATAGTCTAATGAAAGCTCCAGATATGGCTGTGACAATGCAGGCATTTAGCAAAGAGATGACCAAGGTAGTTAATTTATGCATAAGTGCAACGTTATCTCTACGAACTAAGCTCTTGTCTACCGCTTATCTAATGTGAAGATTTATGTAGGCTGGGGTTATTGAAGAGTTTGTAAGTGATGCGGTTGATAATGCCTTAGATTCTGAGGATATCGAAGAGGAGATCGAGGAAGAGGTTGATATGGTATGGACTGCCATAGCAGGAGAGACTGCAGCTGAGCTCCCAGAAGCAGTTAGGAAGGAAAAGATAAATGTACTAGCGCAAAAGGCGGGAACTTCACACGGGGTAAGAGCTCTAGCAGTTGAATGATTGCAAGTACATGAAAAAAGATGGGATAGTTACATATTGGGAGATCAAATATGAAAAGGAGAAGTATACTGTATTGCAGGAAGATGCAATTGCACAAGGAGTTGATAATGAAGACGAACTAGAGGACATTAGAGCTCGGCTCGCCAATGTTAGATTTTGACTGATATATACTGGATCATACTTGTGAGTCTTTTCTTAGAACCATTTTCTATTCTTGGTCGATATCTGAACTGGACTGAAGTGATGAAAACAGGGAAAGATCAAAGCTTTTGGTCAGTGATTGTGTCATTTGTATAGATACTAAAGAAAGTTGAGTTTTAGCTTTAGCTTCAGTGTTTGTTTGGTTTGGTTATTTGTAAAGTTTTTGGATTTGGAGTAGGAAACTCATTCGGTTCCGGTTCGTCTTGATTTGATTTAGTCCGGTTCGATTAAATTTGGTTTGAATTTGATATATTTTGTTTACGTCAATTTGGCTAAATACTAATTGCATAATCATTTCAAGACCAAAGGATAGTTATTCAAACTTGATCATTCCTCTGGAGTTTATTAATGTGCACATTTATATACACTTAATATACTGGAAATTTATGAACCAAAATGAAGAGATATTTACACTTGAATTCTTACACCATTATGTCATTTGATGTGCACATAAATATTTACTACACAATTATTAAGGCAAAGTAAATTGATCAATATGCACATAAATGTGTAGTTGCGTAGAGTGTATGTGTAAATATGCAATTGTGTATATTAAACTTAACACGGTACTTCCTCATTGAAGAATGAAGTGTCATGTTTTTGATGTGATCTAAATTTTAAAGAGAGTTTTGTGTGTAAATAGACTTTTTGAACAAACATTTGTGTGTTTCTGCAGTTTTTTTTTTTAATCTTTGTCCAATGATACTTTTGGTCACTATTGATAACATTATTAACCTCTCAAAACTCATTACCAAAAACAAAAAATTAACCTCTCAAAACTAGATTATTACTCTTCCACCATTCACTCTCTTCCAGATCACCAAAAAAAAAAAAAAAAAAAAACTTTAATTGCCTCATCCTATTTACTACTACAATTTTTTTTTTGTAAAAAATTTCTATGAATATTTTTTTCCTATCTCTCTAAATCCATATTACAATGTTAATCTTTTCTTTTTCTTTTTTCTTTACAATTTTATTTCCATTGTGGTACTTATTTTCCATTTGGATCTTCAAAGATACACTTGGGCTTGAACTCTAGGCTTCTAGCCTCTAGTGGAAGCAGGCGGACCTTCATACAAAAGAAAGAAAAAAAATCACAATATATTCAATAAAGGAGAATATGGATGAAGAGATGTATATTTATATTTAGAAATGGTATATGGGGTACAAAATTTACAAAGAGTCACTAATATTCTCAATAAGGTGAGCCAAATATTGAGAGTCTTTCTAGGGGATGTTTCTAGAGAGTACTGTGATAACTGATAAGTGATGTACAATTCCCTTTGTTACAAAATCATTTCTCATTTTAAGAAATTAGAGTAGATATCTTTTTTTTTTGAAAGAAATTAGAGTAGATATCATTAGTGGCGAACTAAATGTGTTTAATTGGTTTATAATATAAAATACGTATTTGAGTTTAGACAATTTGTGTGTAATAAGTTGTACACACAAACACGAATAAGATGTCATGGTCTTACATTTTTTTTTTTTTTTTTTTTTTTTTTTTGCTAACTTGTAAATATCATTAGAAATGAAGTTGAAGGAATACGGAAAAACGGTCTATTTCCCCACGAGAACTATTTACATCATACCGGATCCACACCGATCTATGATCTCGTCCTAAATATCCTTGAAAAAATACTTCTCAATCTATATCACCCCGAAACCATAGTTCGAAACTTGTATCTCCACAAAATAAAAGTTTTCATCTAATTACCCACAAACATTGGTTTTGCTCGGTTTATTATTTTTTAAACCAACTACGAAAACACTAAACCGAATTAAACCTAATTTAAACCAATTACAACATATTAAACCGGACCAAGAAAATCCACCCACCCAAAAAAAAAAAAAAAATCTCTCTTCTCTAAACTCATCTTCTTCGACAATCTGTTAATTCCTCATCGTCATCGATTTCTTTTTCTTCCTTTCAATTTCATAGATACAGTATGTTATTTGTTTCAAATTAGGTTATATTTTTTTGGTTCTTAGATGTTTATGAACATGGATGATTTTTTTATGACACTTGTTTGAATTTTAGTAAATTTATGAAGTTTTCTTGACTAATTATCTTGTTCAAGTTTATGGGTTAGTTTTAATTGGTATGATTTTCTCGTTAATAAACGTTTTGTTGCTCGAAGAATTGGGTGAATAAGAAGAAGATAACGGGTAGGATCATTTTGGGTCGGGTCGGATTTTAATTTGGGTTGATATCAAATTTAGATGGTTTGGTATTCGGTTTACAAACTAAACCGATTAAATCCACATTTGTGGAGATATAAGTTTCGAACTATGGTTTCGGGGTGATATAGATTGAGAAGTATTTTTTCAGGGATATTTAGGACGAGATCATAGATCGGTGTGGATCTGGTATGATGTGAATAGTTCTCGTGGGGAAATAGACCGTTTTTCCAAGGAATACAAAGAATGTAACCTAACAGTAGAGTAATCTTGGCAAAAAAAAATAAAAACAAGATTACAATGCTTAAGAGAAAAAGATCGAAAGAATCCGATCTATCGAATCCAAAGAAGCATCAGCTTCTTCCGTCTTACATTTTCAGTCTTTAATAAATTATGGACTAAGAATCACATGTCACCGGTGGAGGAATATATAAAGCATGAAGGAATAACGATTTTTTGTCCAATTTAGATGGTCATTCTATATATAAAAAAAAAACATTCTTATTATTAGGCCTGGGCATTCGGGTCCGCGGGTCGGGTTCGGGTAAAACCCGATCGGGTACGGGTATGTCGGGTATGGTAATCTAGGACCCAATAGGGTAAACTGAAAATATCGGTTCGGTTTCGGATCGGGTATGGTCGGGTTCGGGTCGGTTCGGGTATCAGATTTCAGAACCGGTAAAAACCCGAAAAATTCGGTTCTTGCTTGTTTCGGGTCGGGTACGGGTATTTTCTACCCGATTACACTGTGGTATAAATTTTTTACATTGTGGTTCTTCTGTTACACTCTAATTGAACAGAATAAAACCTAAAGCATTTAAATACGTCTTAAACATCCAATTCAAATCATCCAAATATAAAGAGTTAAAAGTCTTAAAGACATAAAATGCATAGAACATTTCAAATACACATGATTCAAATCCAAGAAAAAAAGACAAGTTGACAAGAAGAAGTGCCGAAGTAGAAAACTGGAGAGGACACATTACACATTCATGAAAACTAGAAGTAGACAATCTCACTCTCCTTGACCCGCATGAACCTATACAAGTAAACAAATATCAGAAATCAGCATGCAATATTGCAATCTCACTCTTACATAATCTATGTATCTCACTCACGTTGATGACTAACCTTTGTATCTCACTCATTCATTTTAAAGGCTATCAGCTCCTTGACCTTGCATATTGAAAACAAATTCTGGTTCACCTAGTTCATGCTCTATAAAAAAATGAAAGAACATGAATTAGAATCACAATATCATAACATGATGTTAGAAGTAAAAAGAGAATAGAATCAGAACTTACTTCTCATAAGATCATCTTCCAACGTGATGTCCTTAAGTAGTTGTTGTATTGTGGAGACGCCTCTTTCATTGATATGGATTTCACATTTTAGCCATTGCTCAACGCACATCAACACTTCCACCATGTAATGTGAGAGACAGCTCCTGAAAGGACTCACAACTCTACCACTTGTGCTAAATGCGGATTCTGATGCTACGGATGAGACTTGCATTGCAAGTATATCTTTAGCAATGAGTGAGAGAATCGGATACTTCCAGTATTGACCTTCCACCAAGATAACAAATCATATTCTGTGCCTTTTAGAATGACTGGAGTCTCCACATTCTCTTTCAAATACACGTCCACCTCATTAGATGTATTGCTCAATCCTGTTTCCTTCACAATCTCATCAAACACGTTTTCCATATTTTCATATAAAAAACCATTACGCAAAACTGGTCTCTCAGAAAAATCACTTGCACCTTGATCTTGAGACTGAGACTGACTCTGGCTCCATGCATTTTCTGACTGCGTAGATGACCCAGCAGTACCACTACCACTACCAGTTTTATTAGCTAAACTGTTTCTTGTATACTCATCATACAAATCAGTGATGATGCCATAAACTGAATCTGAAAGATGAGTAGCCTCCACAGTACCTTTACCATATAGCCTTTCAAAACATAACTCAGCAAATTTCATTTTCTTCCTCGGGTCAAACACACTTGCCACTATCACAAGCCTATTCATTTCAACTTTCTCCCCAAATGCATCCCAATACTTACCCAACTTTGCTAACATAGCCTCGGCTTTATTCTTTAGGCCATCATCATTGTATCTTAATGCACCTAGGTTTCTAGTAATGGAGACTATCTCATTGTAGAGTTTATGAGCTGCAACATAGTTTGAAGCTGAAAGAACCAATGTGGACTTATAGAAAATCTCAAGAATCTGAACTAACCTGTCAACTTTCTCCCAGTCATCTCTCACAGCTGGTCCAATCCTCTTTTTTCCATCCTCTTTTTCCAGAAAGTAATCATTATATGGTTTATCCTCAGCCTCCATCCTCTCAAATGCTATTCTGAACTTTAGAGCTTGGTCTAGCATGAGATATGTCGAATTCCATCTGGTCTTGACATCTAAAGGTAGGCTTCCCCTTTGCAGCTTCCCTGTTTCAACTCTAAAATCAAAAGATTTCAGTCTAGGTGTCGAAGACCTCACATAGGTGATGCCATTGCGAATAGCAGCCACACAGCTATCAATCTCTGTTAATCCTTCCTTCACCACCAAATTCAGAATGTGAGTAGCACACCGCAAATGCAAATACTCACCTTTAAGTATCAAAGCTTCACTTCCATACACCCGCAGCATTTCTTTCTTGAATTTGGTCATAGCTGAACTATTGGCTGTAGCATTATCAACAGTGATGCAGAATATTCTCTTTATACCCCACTCAGCTAAACAAGCCATAAGAGTATCACATATTGTCTGACCCTTATGATCTTCTACATGCTTGAAGCTTATTATCAACTTCTTCAACTCCCACATATTATCAATAAAGTGAGCTGTTACTACCATATAACTAGCTGAAGTATTGGGACAAACCCATATATCTGTAGTCAATGACAGCCTCTGCTTATTGTTCTCAATAATCTTCTTCATGGCAGCTTTCTTAGTGACATAAACCTCAACAATCTCTCTTGTAGCTGTTCTCCGAGAATGAGGCTTATACAATTGAACTTTGGAGCAAAAATGTCTCCAAGCTAAGCACTCTATAAAAGCTAAAGGTAACTCAGCTAAAACTAACAGCTCATTAGATGCTTCTTTAAAAACTGCTTCACTGACTTTACTAACTCTAACACAGCCACCAGAACCATCAGGAGTTAAAACTGTTTGAGTTTGATGTATATTAGCACTTTTCCATACCTGGAATGCCTTGCAGGTATTTTCAATATGCTTCTTCAACGTGGAGGTTCCTGACTTGGTTGGACACGCCAACTCTTTCCCACAGTAATTGCAATTACATTTGTCTACAACCTTCTCTTTTCTGGTGAAATGATCCCAAACCCAAGACCTTGCCTTCTTGGTTGACTTACAACCACTAGCCCCTGCTCCTTCATTGTCTTTCCTCTTGTTTGCCTTTCCAGAAGTAGGAGCTTCAAACTCTTCGTCTGTCATATCATCTTCATGGTCCATTGGAATATTTTTGTCTTTTGGTTCATCACAAGACGCCATCTGCAATTCAACACAATTCAAAGTCATTCACAATTCAAAGATAAGACAAACTCATCTTTTTCTTTCCATGAACAGAAAGAAAAAATACCATCACATCTTCACGGTCTCTTTTTTTATCATCAACACAAGTCAGAGAAATTCATCATGTACCATAAGAGATACTTGCTTGAACTTGACAAGAGATCTCTTGTACAAAACAAAGCAAAGAAATTCAACAAAGAAGTGGCTTTCTCAACTGTAACCTAGAGACAGAGCTACCAAGTTTCAGAGGGCTGGTGACCACGATGATTACTCATCAACAGGAGCATACATTGTGTATCTTGGCAAACAACCTATTTCGTGGGCCTCACGCAAACTCAAAGGAGTTGCTCGATCATCTACCGAGGCGGAGTATCAGGCTCTAACTGCAGCGGCGTCTGAGGTAAAGTGGCTTTCTTCACTTCTAGTTGAGCTTGGCATCAAATCGATCACCACGCTTACGATCTTTTGTGACAATATTGGAGCCACTTATCTCTCAGCGAATCCGGTCTTTCATTCTCGGATGAAGCACCTTGCTCTTGACTATCATTTTGTTCGTGAACAAGTACAAGCTCGCACTCTTCGTGTTTCTCACATATGCTCTGCAGATCAACTAGCTGATGCTCTTACTAAGCCACTACCTCGAGCTCGCTTCACTGACCTTGCTGTCAAGATTGGCCTTCGTGGACGTAGTTCATCTTGAGGGGGCGTGTTAGGAGAAGATGTGAATATTCTAGAATATGTCTTTGTATATATTCCATATCTCACAAATGGAAACTATGTATGTATAAATACCTTGTCTATTATTGAATAAGAGATCATTCATTCTAAAACCCTACATATACATGAAGTGTAAATTTTTTTAATTCATTCTATGCAACTAAGTATTTATGTAAATATTTAGTTTCATAGAATGTATATATGTAAATACAGAATTATCATGTATCTTGGATTTGTGGAAGACAAAAAATTTCTTCCACGAAATGTCATGTTTCTGTTGTGCTAAATTTAAAATTCTAGTAGGCGCAAATTGTGCATAAAACAAAGGGATTATATTTATGATAAAAAGAAGAAAATGACGTTATATAAAATATGAATTTTAGATTATCGAAATTCATTTGGATTTCTCAGTTTCGTTTTTATTCTAAAATTAAAACGCTAATATATCAGAATTTCTTTTTTGTTAAACGCTAATTATCAGAAAATTAGTTCTCAAAATTAGACTATACTTCCTTCGTTTTCACGTTATGGTTATCAAGTTACTCCTACTTTTAATTGTTCCGAATTCCAATAATTGGAAAATGCAATGAAGTAATTTAATGTGTTTCAGTAATTAAAATACTCCATCCGTTTCACAAAGAGTGTCGTTTTATTGTTTTAATCTCGTTTCACAAAGAGTGTCGTTTTGTGTTTTCAATGCAGTTTTAAAGACTAATTCTCTTTTTTATCCCTACTATTTCAGCTTATTAATTCGAGAGAGGGTATTATTTAGTGTATTAATAAAGGGTAGAAATGAAATTTGTTTACTTTTCTTAATTTGTGTGAAAAATGCTAGAATGACACTCTTTGTGAAACATATGGAGTAGTATATATTAAATACATAATTGCATACTCTCTTTGTTTTAGAATAATTTCTTTTTAGTTATTAGGTTGACGTAAATTATTATTTATGATCCAAAATTATCCTATTTTGTGTTTGTCATCTAACAACAATAGTTCATTTTATGTACATTATTATAGTCATTGCATCTTATCTCTCAATTTTGAGTACGAGTTCATATTTATCTATGTAATCATAGACAGAATGAACTTCACAAATGCTTGGAATAATTCTCCCACATCCCTGTATCAAAGGAAAACAACATTAATTAAAGGTTAATTTAACAAAGAGAGAAGAGAATGAAGGAGAGAACATTTTACCTCTGTAGTTCTGCTCTCATCCAGGTAAACATGCGCCTCAGTGATGGGACAATCTTCTTCATATACTGTTCCACTCGCTCGAAAATGATTGGCAAGAACATACACATTTGAAACTCCATCTACCTTACTTAAAACAGGATGAACTACACCGTCTTCATCGTAACAACGCCTCGGCATGGAGTTCATTAACTCCTGGATAGACAAGACACTAGCAACATTGATAAAAGGCTGGATTCTCATCAACCATTTCCTCATCTTTAGAACAAATTGTAGGTTGCGCACAAACGTAACCGCCCAACAATTTGCTGCTCTCTGTGTAAACGCCTCGCCTAGAAACAGATGGACAATAGACGTCCAACTGATATGTGGAACAAACGCTGGGTTTATTTTGCCTGAAACAGCAGCAACAACAACAACAGTCGATGAAAAAGCTTCCTTTATTCAAACCCAAAAGGAATCTAAAGAGAAGCACAACAACAAACCCATAAACCAAACTTATTTTCGCGACAAAAAGAACAATGTTTTCAATGTTTCAAACAAAGACAAATATCCCCACAAATGCATAGTACACGAATGAATCATTCTTCATCATAACCTCACATTTCACAGTATGACTATCACAATATATAATCATAAACATCAAATCATAAAATTGAGGAATAGCCACAAAATCAATCAGCCATGGTCGAATTTTTTTTGTTCAGATTCAACCTAAACATCCTATGGGAAGTGAAAAGCGGCAGCTCGCAACAAAATTGTTCCCGATTTTACCATGATCAAACGAATAAAAGAAGAAGTCAAATCAAAATCCGAGTCCAAAATTATCCTATTTTGTGTTTGTCATCTAACAACAATAGTTCATTTTATGTACATTATTATAGTCATACATTAAGTCTTTCTCTTATTTCTTGTGTGCTCCTCATCCGCATCTTTTCTTTCGCTTGCCGTCATTCTCATCCACAGTTAATAGTCTTGGATATGAAAATTTGTAGAGCAGTGATGAGGGTTTGGAAAACAGAATCTTATCAAGACAAAACTCATATGTAATAATTTTACAAGCCCTTAAAAAATATTAAATCATAGTATCTAAAGATACATTGATGCATCCATTATGTCCCAAACCAAACCCTTAGCCTGATCTAGCGCACACAAACCTTTCATCGTCATTTTCATTCACACGAACTAAATAAACTACGTACGAACTGACAAATACATAATTGGATGTGGTTGGTCCATGGTATATCTGCAAACACAAACAATTATATAAGAACACAACCAAAAAGTCTAATAAACTTAGTATTGATCTTACCCTCTTTGATGTAAGTCGTACTCGTGGCTGAAAATTTTCCAAATTTGCTCTAATTGGGTATTTTTTAAGACCTTCAAACACTTTGTCAATTGTTTGAGAAACAATAAAATATAATGGGTAATAAACTATTTAATTTTTTTTTTGTGCAAATATATGTTTTAAATAGACAGAGTAATATGTTAGAAATTATTAGTGGATAAGTGAAATACATAAGATCTGAATTATATAATAGCCCCTCTATGTCATTTTAAGTAATGTTTAAGACTTTCGCATACATATTAAAAAGACTACATAAACTTCATTTAATTTTATTTACACCTAAAAATTTTTAACTAAAATTTATTTCACCAACATAAAAGCATACTCCATAATATAAATGATCATCAAAATCAATATTTAAATTTTTGCATATAAATTTGAGATTATCTTTAGCAAAAGATAATATAAACAAAAAATATCGTTTAAAATGAACCAAATTTTTTTCTTCTAAAATAGTATCATTTAAAGCATAACAGATGGAGTTTTAAGAATGAAAAACCACGAGTGAAGCAAAAGTTGGGTCGGTCAACAAGGGAACATAAGACGCATATATTATTATTTGGGGATAAGTGTTTACATCATCTTCTTCACTTTCAGTTTTGTGTTTACATAAGACAGTTTTAACAACAACCAAAAAAAATCTGAAAGAAATAAATAATGGTTAAATATCGTGGCAATAAAGTTTAAGGAATTTAGCAGCACATTAATTAATTGCGTTTAAAACTTTTTGATTGTCTCAGTTTTTAAAAATACTATACTATAATTTGGTTGGAAAAAAATGAGAAGTTTTAATACCTCTAAAACCAAAAAGGTTTTTATGCCTTGCACGCAACAAATTATGAGATTGAGAATCTGAGAGGCCGACGTAGGTCTTTCTGATTTATTTTCTTGAAAAGCAAAACAAAGGATTTATTTATTTACACTAAGTGTGGGTCATCATTCATCAACATTATGTATATTGTTTCATTGGATTAATAACTTCAAGATTCTTATCTGATATGGAGATTAAAAAAAAAAAAAGTATTGACAAAAAATAAGCAAAAATATGGAAGGGAATAAAATAACAAAAAAAAAAGTATTTATAAATAACTATAATGGGCTGAAAATCCAAAATTGGAGGAAAGATGTTTATAAAAAAGTTTTATGCGGATACATTTTAGCATTGCGTGCTAAATAATTATCTGCCTTCGTGAGTCACATAATATGATCTATTTTGGTATCCCAAGGTAAGATAATGTCACACAGTTAAAGCGTGACATACTGATACTTAGCTAGCTACATCACAAGTTTTGTTATTCATCTATTTTTTTTAAGGTAGAGAAAAACTTAAGTGTGAGGAAGATTCCTAGGATGAGAACTGTCGAAGGTGTAGTCGTGTAAGTTGATGTAATACAAGTCTCGGATCTTCAAACATTAAACTACATAATCATCAACTTGTGCAAAAGATAACTTTATTATAATGACAAATATAACAAAGAAAGGAAACAGATTTTACAAAGAGGTTGAAAATAACATTTTGGTGACAAAACCATGTTGTGTATATTGTGCTATATAATATTAAAAGTACATATGTTTGATTATTTTTGTTAACTGATGTTTTGACTTAGTTAAATTTCCATTAGTGTTTTTAAAGTTAGATCATTGATCCGTTATCGGATGTCATTTTGTTACTGATACTTTTGATCATTCATATGGATGTAGAATTTATTTAATCTTCTCCATAGTTTAGACTTATCAAGTCAACTATAATGTATATGTTCAAGCAAAAACTTTTTTGACTTAAGAGCGTTGAACCATATAAAATTCTAGGGTACTGAAATCAATCATAGAACCAACATATTCTCTATTATTTAGAATTATTTAAATTTTTTATTTTAAATGCGATTGGTTTTGACTCCACTGTTTTTGTTTGGATTTCATGTTTCTAATGTGTAGCAGAAGTTGGTCAATAGAGTTTATCGTTTATACTATAAGTCTCTAATTTGTCGCTATTTCAAAAAGATTGAAAATCTTATTTTTTTCCGATTCTTTGTATATGACAAAGGGTAATCCGAAAAATCCCACTAATCTTCTCGGATGAGTGTACTTGTTGTCAAATAGTACATTCACTGAATTTTTAACAAGCATAAAGAGGTCATTGTACAATTGGGAAAAATGGATTTGACACATCAAATTTTTGCATAACTATTTCCAAATTTTGCAAAACAAGTATAGCAAGAGAATAATGATGGAATCCTATATATTATGTGGCCAATATTTGCAAATTTTTGTACTATGTCCAACGATGATGAATGTATTATTTATGGAAAGGAAGGGACTTTATCTTTAAATTTTACTCCCTCTGTTTTGAATTACTTGTCGTTTAAGGTTTTTGCACATAAATTAAGAAAACAATTAATTTTTTTATTTTATCTTTGTTTAATATATTCTTTAAAAAATTTTATTGGTCAAGACATTAAAACTGTGAGGATAAAACTGGAATTTTTACAAAACATCTGCATTGAAAATCTAAAACGACAACTATTATGTGACAAAATTTAAGTGCTAAAACGACAACTAAATTAAAACGGAGGAAGTAATATACTCCCTCCGTTTCATAATATAAGTCGTTTTGGAGAAACAATTTTGTTTCATAATATAAGTCGTTTTCAAATTCCTATTCAAATTATAGATTATTTTAATATTTTATAATTATTTCTATTATGCAGTCTCTGTTGTGATTTGTTGAACTTTTTAAAAGTAGATCTTCTTAATCTGCGTGCTTAAAGCTAAAACGACTTATATATATTATGAAACGGAGGGAGTATAGAATTACATTTAATGAAAGAATAAAAAAAAACCAGTCGAACCGCCACATGTGAAGATTCTGGTTAATATTTTTTGTAATTATAATACACACACAAAATCAACAACATTAATCAGGCATTAACAACATTAATTTCCATCGTTAATCGCATTTTGGTTGGTGATACACGCCAAAAATATACGCCATTATAGTGCATTGATTTGTCCATGTCTAAAGGATTCTTCAATCCAAACACAATTTTATACGCAAAGATTTGAATTAAAGCAAGGATTTGGACAGAATGTACGCAAAAGCAAACGAGATAATAGCTAGCGTTCACACAAATTACACACTGTCTTTGTCTCTGTCTTTTTCTAACCGAATTAATTGCAATTGCGAAAATTTATGTACATATGATAAAGAAAATTAAAGATCCTAATATTTCGGTAGGTACGTGTATCCATCTTAATTTAATTTTGGTGTCTGATTTTTTTTGAACAAGAGCAATCATATATACACTTTTCCTCGAAAGAACAAGTGGGGTTTATCTCAGTATGAAACTATAAAAAGAAAACAAAAGGAAGTCTTATGAGTGGCTACAAATTAAATTAAAGGTGAGTTAGGTATGTAACTGAATTTAGACAGAATGTTTTGCAGAAAAGTCATTGTGAATTTTCGTAAATAAATGGTTGTGTTTAATCTTGAGTATTTTTTAAAGATATAATAAGTCATAGAAATCTATGAGATTCATTGACAAAAAAAAAATCTATAATGTTTTGAAAAATCACACATGAAAAAACGAATCACAATATTTATGAAAATTTTATTCGCTATGTTTTCATATAATAATCGTATTAGTGTTATATATTTCATCTCCACAAAATAGTTATCTACTCATAAGTTAAATAATCTCAACTATAACTTCGAATGGTTGCGACGGATATGACGAAAAAAAATATTTACGACAAATCCATTACGAACCATTTAAAAAGGTTAATCCACAATAGCTAATTTTGGCCTAAAAATGGTTTAGTGACGTTAATCCGTAAACGGTTTAATCCGCTCCGCTGTTAACATTTATTCAACCTAAATGTTGTATAAGAGTTCAAAGAATGTGAAGATGATTTTCATTGATTCTAGCAACCGTCACCTTTCTCGAGGTGGCAAACAAAAAAGTAAAAATTGACAATTTTCGTAAGTAAAATAAAATACTTTTAGTTTAAGAAACTAAATAACATTTTTAATATTTGATCCACGATTTTGTTTAGTAGACAAACAAGCCAACTATATAAGTAACATCATCGTTTCTTCAATCCCATAACCCAACAGTTCTCTCACAGAAAACCCAAAAAAATGGACTCCAAAACAACTTTTCTCACATTTCTTCTCTGTATTTTCATTTTCTCTCATTTTTCACCCTCAACTTCCAAATCTCTCACAGAAAAGCCTTTATCTTTCTCACCGTCGGCGAGTTTGCCGACTCTCACGGCGGAGAGACTAATCAAAGGATTCAATTTGATGCCTACACGTGACGTCAATGTCATCGATGAAGACGGTTCTGAGGCTCCGAGGCTAGTCGAGAGAGAATTCGATTTGCCGGCCGAGGTTGACCGTCGTGGCTCCGGTGGTTCTCCGTCGGTTCAAGAATTTGGTCACCATGCTGGTTACTACAAACTCCCTAATTCAAAAGCAGCAAGGTAACTTCCATTTTGTTGTACCAAAACTAAACCGGTTTAACCAATCCGGTTCATAATTTCTCACAATTATATAACTCAATCCGGTTTAAATTAAGATTTTTTTTTCTTAACCGTTCTATTTGGTTGGTACCGATGCGGTTCACATTGGGATTTTAATTCTCAATTTCTTCTCAACAAGAAAACCGATTCGATTTAGTATTTACTTTTTTTTTTAACCGTTTTACCGTTTTAATAATACTTGGAACCGTCTCGGTTTACTTTTGTATTATGACTAAACCGGGTTTTTCTATTGCTTAATTTCTTTCACAGGATGTTCTACTTTTTCTTCGAGTCAAGAACCAACAAAGCCGATCCAGTGGTGATTTGGCTAACCGGTGGACCTGGTTGCAGTAGTGAACTGGCTCTATTCTACGAGAACGGACCGTTCACCGTCTCCAACAACTCATCTCTTTCTTGGAACGAATTTGGTTGGGACAAGGTTGGTTAGAAAAAAAAATGGTCAACGAAAACACGTTTTCACATATCTCAACAAGAAACCAAATTAATCTCAACCACTTTATTTTAATTTAATGTTATAGGCATCGAATCTAATCTACGTGGACCAACCGGTTGGAACCGGTTTCAGTTACACATCGGACCAAAGTGATCTTCGACACGACGAGGATGGTGTCAGTAATGACCTTTACGACTTCTTACAGGTTCAGTTTCGAGTTACTTTCTTTTTTTTCATATCACATTAAAATCATGTTCTTGAAGAATCTTGACGTGACACATTTTTTTTGCAGGCGTTTTTTAAAGAGCATCCACAATTTGTGAAGAATGACTTTTACATTACCGGTGAATCCTACGCTGGACATTACATTCCGGCATTGGCTTCACGGGTTCACCGTGGAAACAAGAACAAAGAAGGAACTCACATTAACCTTAAGGTAAAAGAAACAAAGTCTACATTGATCTTTTTTTTGTTCACACTTTTTGTGTTTGGCTTAAACAAAACCTGTTTTATATATATATCAGGGTTTTGCAATCGGTAACGGTTTGACCAACCCGGAGATTCAATATGGTGCTTATGCGGATTACGCGCTAGACATGAAGTTGATAACACAGTCTGATCACGATAACCTTAACCGTAACTACGCAACTTGTCAACAATCCATCAAAGAATGCAGTAATAAACAATCTCTCAACCTCTTTTCTTTCAAGAACGATAGTAAGAAGTTTGTGATTTTTTTTTATATATGTTTGCTTCTTTTATGCGATTTTAGGCGCGGATGGTGGTGAAGGTGATGCTTGTGCATCTTCTTACGTTGTCTGCAACAACATTTTCCAAAAGATTATGGATATTGCAGGAAACGTAAACGTAAGCATCAAAAACTGGAATTGAATGAATCCCATTTTTACTTGTTTGTTTTTGAAATAAGCTAACAAGATTTTCCTCTGTTTTGGTCTCTCTGTTTTGAAGTATTACGACGTGAGGAAACAATGTGAAGGAAGCTTGTGCTATGATTTCTCGAACATGGAGAAGTTCTTGAACCAGAAATCGGTACGGAAGGCATTAGGTGTGGGAGATATCGAGTTTGTGTCTTGTAGTACAGCGGTTTACGAAGCAATGCAGATGGACTGGATGCGGAATCTTGAGGTCGGGATTCCAGCTCTTCTTCAAGATGGAATTAAGCTCCTTGTTTACGCCGGGGAATACGATCTCATCTGCAATTGGCTCGGTACGTTTCCTTGCTATGTCCATGTGTATGCTGACTACTAGTTACATCTCCACAAAACTGGTTACGTTGAGATTGATTGAATATATTTTTCTTGGTATATAGGAAATTCGAAGTGGGTTCACGAGATGGAATGGTCAGGCCAGAAAGAGTTTGTAGCAGCCGCGACAGTTCCATTCCTTGTAGACAACAAAGAAGCCGGTTTAATGAAGAACCACGCTTCACTCACTTTCCTAAAGGTAAACCGAGAAAAATCGAGAAACTGAACATATTTCTATCGATATTTGTCCCTAATCTAATTGAAATTGGGAAAACGTTTTATAGGTCCATGATGCTGGACACATGGTTCCAATGGATCAGCCAAAGGCAGCATTGCAAATGCTTCAGAACTGGATGCAAGGAAAGCTCAGTACACCAACTGGTCGGACCGCTCATCAGTGAATCCAAATTCCGAACCGACTGAATTATCATGTATTTAGGAGATCAAATATTTTACTTTTAAGAAAGCTAAATAACATATACTTGTGAATTATTTCTATAAATACACAGGAAACTTCATTGTTAATCTCTAACCATCAGTTGAATTTTGAATGTTTTTAAACAATGAACTTGAAATATTTGGCAATATAACCAAGTCACTACAGTACTTAGATTCAAATCTATAATCTAAAACCTGATAAATACTTCATTCATTGAACACTTTATAACCTTTATATGTCACAAAGATTTGACTATTCCAAGTTATACAAACCTATCTCTAAGATTCCTTAACAACTAGAGAAGATGACACATAAAAACAAAGCTTGCAAATTCACCGATGACCCTCATAAGAACGATCACGATACTCATCATCATCATCATCGTCAAGAATGAGAGTAACACCATTGTTTCTAAGAGAATTAATAACAGCCCATACCTTGGTTCGACTCTTAAACCCTTTCTTTTCGATTTCTTTCTTCACATCGGCATGGATACCTCTTCCTTGCCCATCTTGAAGCCCTTCCACTTTCAGCCTCATCGCTAAAACCTCTCCAACAATAGCCGCTGCCTTAGCATTGCAAGTACGACCACATTCTAGCGAGTTCTTGATTGCGTGCTCTACAGTTGAAGCTGTTGTCACTATTCTCCCGTTGTTTCTGTCCACTACGTTTACTGTTATGTACTTGATCGACATGAACAGCCTTAAGACATACCTTTTCAAAACTGTCATTTGCTTCTACAAAGTACACACAAAATAAATGCATCAAAGGCTCCTTAAAAGCTTGTCTACTATATAATGTTCTCAGAGGAATTTCGTCAAACACCTTACGGGCAAAACATTATTCTGTGTAAACTTCAATTCAAGAGGCTTCCTCTACTACCCATTTTATAAAGCTACTAAATTTCAAAATTAAATCTGAAATGAGAATAAATAACAGCGAAGAAACCAACAATTCGCAGCACACAAAAAAAAAATCTCTGTCTAGATAACACGAAGTCGTGGAAGAGAAACCAACGAAAATAAATTGAAATTCGTTCGAACTTACGTGTATATGGTCTAACTTGAGCCTAATCAAGAAGAATCGTTGCGACGAGAAAATTTTCAGATGGCCAAGATGAACGACGACGAAGCAGGAAGAAAACGAGTCGGGTCGGGTCGGGTTCTATACCGATAACCAAGTCGGTCCAATCATAATGGGCTTTTTACTTTGGGCTAAAAATGTTTTGTACCAAACCAAACCGGTACACTAGCGTTATTTATCAAATACTCCGGTCTAGAACCTCTTAACAAAAAAAAAGTCAAAGATCAGCAAGCTACATGAGGACATGAAAATTTATATAGAAATCAAAAGTTGCTTAGTAATGCGTGAAAACATAAAACGACCCATGTGGAGAGCACTAATTTCAATGATTTTTGTAATTTGAAAAAACTGATAGTTGCATAGTCATCTTAATGGTTGACTTTTGAATTCTGACAACGCTTAAGAGATTGAGCTGATAGGTTGGCTAGTGATTTTCTTTCTGTATTAATTTTCTTTCGGACAACCTGTAAGCTTAGGAGATTGAGCTGATTGGTTGGCTTTTCATTTTCTTTGTGTATTAGTTATTTAAATATCACAAGTACCATTCACAAACATAGAGGAGAGCACTAAGTTAATTTATGTATTAATTATTTAAAATATTACAAGTATTGTTCATAAACATAGAGGAGAGCACTAAGTTAATTACTCAAAATCTCTCCATCTTTCGTTTACTAAGAGATATTCTCTCTCGATAATTCTATGGATCCAAAGCCGCAGTTGAAGCTCTTGTCACTCGTTACTCAACTAATGTCTTACATCGACCCTGATAAATTGGAAACGGGTTATGTGTCGGAGGTCATATTACTCATTAGGCAAATAATCTCTCTGGTCAACTCAATGGATTTGGATTTGCAGCCAAAGCCGGAGTCGAAGCTCATGTCACTCATTACTCAAGCCATCTCACTCTTCAGCTCTATGGATTTGAATTCTCAGCCGGAGCCGATAAGGAAATTCATATCATTCCTTTCTCAAAAAGTCAACTCTATAGATTCTGATTGGGAGGAGATGTTCCTATTACTCTTTATTAAGATATTGGCATTTAAGGAGGAGTCGGAGCTCATATCACTCCTCTATGAGATATGCTACCTTGCCACTTCTATGGATCCACAATGGGAGAAGCTCATTCCTATATGCCTTCATACACTAGTAAGATTGAAAGAAGGAAAATTTCATGTGATTGAAGAAGTCAAGAGAAGCAGCTATACTAAATGGAGGTGTCTCCCTGTAAGAAGGAAAAAAATCAGTTTTACAGGAGGAGACGCTACACATTTTTTCTGCGGAGGTTGCAATGGCAAGAACCATGAAGAATATTACAAGAATCCCGTTGAGATCAAACACCATCTTCATCCAAAACATTCTCTTCAGCTTGTCTTGTTGGACGATAGCAAAACCAGGAAATGTTATTGTTGTGATGAAGATCTCATAGCTATATTTTATTATTGCTCGACTTGCGATTTTGCTTTGAACATGATTTGTGTTGAGAAACCACCAACCTTGTCTATAGACCAGCCTAAGTGGCATGAGCATACACTTGCTCTGTTTCCAAGTCAGGCTTCCTTACCTTGCAACCTATGTGCCTTGACACACTCAAGCTGTCCTTTCTATATATGTCCCCCTTGTGATTTTGTGGTCCATCAAAGGTGTGTCAGCTTACCACGTGTCATAAGGATATCTCGACATCCCCATCGTATCTCGTTTACGGCTTCATTTGAACAAGGAGATTGGCGTTGTGGTGTTTGTCGTAGAAAGATCAACAATGATTATGGAGGCTATTCTTGCAGCAAGGACGGTTGTTCGTATGCGGCTCATTCAAGATGTGCCACACAAAGAAATGTGTGGGATGGTATAGAGCTTGAGGAAGTGCCGGAAGAAATTGAAGAAGTTGAGCCGCCTTTTGTGAGGATAAGCGATGGTATCATACAACATTTCAGTCATCAGCATCATCATTTGAGACTTGATGAGAACACATGCAGAGATTACGACGAGAATAAGCAATGCCAAGCATGCGCCATGCCAATCTATTTCGGTACATTCTACTCATGTATGCAATGTGAGTTTATTCTACACGAAACATGTGCAAATCTTTCTCGCAAAATGCATCACCCGATACATCCACATCTACTTACTCTAGTGGGAGGAGGATATGACGATTTCATAGACTACAAATATGATGAATGTTCAGCTTGTCATTGGATGTGCAACGCTGGTTTCTTCTATGAGTGCGATAAAAATGAGTGTTCTTTCCAGCTACACGTGCAGTGCACCACAATTTCTGAGCCATTAGTCCATGAAAGTCATATGCATCCCTTATTCCTAACATCTAAACCAGGAGAGGAAAGAATTTGTTCGGTTTGCGAAAATCAAGAAACAAGTTCCACAAAGGAAACATTCAATTGCATTGAGGAGTGCGACTTTTCTTTGTGTTTTGGATGTGCTACTTTACCTCAAAAGGTGAGGTATAAGCATGATAAGCATACGCTCACTCTTTCATATGGGGAGGAGACAAGTACTAAGATGTATTGGTGTGAAATTTGCGAACGAGAGATAAATCCAAAGAAGCGGTTTTATATGTGTGATGAGTATTGTTGTGTCACCCTACACATTGATTGTATGCTTGGGGTGGACTTCTACATGAAGCTCGGTTCATCGTTGAGTTTGTTCAGAACAGTTACTAAGGTATATATTCTACAAAACAATCATATGTCTCGACCTATTTGCTGCTTTTGTGAGAAGCGTTGTCCACATAAAATAGTTCTCCAGTCCTCTGGTTTCTTTTTCTGTTCCATAATATGTTATCGTGAGTTGATGTTTGAATTGATCCGGACTCAGCAAATAAGCAACTCTCCATTCTCTATGGAATGAATGCTTTATGTACTGATTCAAGTATTGTGTATCCTTCATATTATGTTATTACATGTTCTGTCATATACATAGCATGTCTGTTTAATCTAAACCTTGTTACAGCTTTATAGAGACATCCATAATCATTGCAACATTTCAGAAAACCCTCTCTTGGAGTAGTCAAATCTTTGTGATATAATCTTATCTAAATAGTTCAGATATAATCTTAGACTCTTAGTTCTATCACTGATTCACTTTTGCAGCTTAAATATGGAAGACATTATGGGAATTCGTACAAAAAAATTTCTCTTAACAGATATGGCAATTAACAAGAGGAAGTGTGGTTAGCAGTAAGATACTTTGTTATGTACATTAAGTGGAAAAACGTTGAATGACTCTAGGCTTAAACTTACTACAAGCAGAGGAGTGAGTAGAAGACAAGAGGTATAAAGGCATTGTCTAACTGTGCAGTGTAAGCTTCCAACATCCCGGTGGCTGTCATAGCCACCAGAAGCGACCACCATCCTTGACTTAGTATATAACCCATTGACGCTAATATTGGGACCAGTACAAAGCACACTGCCATCACCGATGTTATTCCCGCTGCTGTTCCTTCAACCGTTTTCTCTGTTCCGCAAACATTTTTTACGCACTTGACAATATTAGTTTCCGATAAAAAGCAATAGTTGAGATTTTTTTAAAGAAAATAAAATGCTTACTTCCTGTCTTGCTCCATCTCAACACCCCATACTTGTGCCCAACCATCGATGCCTGAAGAGAAAATCGTTATAACATAACACTGGGAGAGACTGCGGTTTTCTAAGTTAGTATCTCCGGACCATGTAAGTAGAAGCTAAAAGTTTACCATTGTATCTCCAATCCCGAGACTGAGAATTCCGGCAAATGGGGATAAAGGTCGGTCATTGAACCCAGATGACATCCAAATTGGAAGCGCACACCCAAGCACGAGTGAGAAGTGGCTATAAAATAAGACATAATAATCAATGGTTATACAAACCAAACAAAAAATGTGATAATTCTACACTGAGTTTTCCCATCCATGCTCTAAACAGTTTTGGCATACCGCATACCTGACAATCAGATGCTCTGAGCCATGTGAAAGCATTTATGAATTCTAACCTTTGCAATTGTGCAAGCCAAAAAGTCGCCAAAATATAGAAGGAGACCACTAGTCACAAGAAGCGCTTCCTGATGCAGCGCATCTTCAAGATCGAACGTCGCAAGATTCGAGGACGAATCTTCTCTTACCCGAGGAGACTGATGCAGCGTCATCTATGATACATGGGCTTTTATTTTGGGCTTTTAATTAGTAAATATGTTTATGTTTTTAGATTAGGGTTTTTGTTTATGAACGCCTTATATAAGGCTTAGATTATGCGTTAAGAAGGGGAGCTTTGGATTATTGAATAAACGAGTTTTAAGAGAGCTTTGTGTAAAGCCTAGAGAGGAGGACTCTCAACCCTAAGAGCTTGTGTTCAAGCCCTGCAAGGAGGACTTGCAAAACCCCGTCGATATCGTTCCTTGGAACCGATCTCGACCCTATCCCTATTGCTTCTTCGTCAAGTTTCGACGTTCTAAGTAAGATCCGTTCGTGAATCCGAGTTCTCGTCTGTTATTTAGCTTCCGCTCTCTATCAGTTGGTATCAGATTCATCTCGTTCCTGGTGGTTTGATTCCCTTACAACGATGTCGTTGAAAGACATGAGATGGGAGAACAATTTTAAGGTGGATATTCCCAAGTTCCACGGTGGAATTTCTAGTGATTCGTTCCTAGATTGGCTCGTGGATGTTGAAGAAATTTTGGAGTTTCAAAGCGTTTTAGAAAATCAATTGGTTTCGCTCGTGGTTAAGAAATTTCGAGGACACGCAGCATCATGGTGGCATCAAGTGAAGACAAAACGCAAGCAAGCTGGTAAGAGTCCTATTAAATCCTGGACTAAACTAAAGCAGAAGCTATGCGCAACCTTTTTACCTCCTCACTACGGTAGTTTGGTGTATAGTCGTCGTTTGCAAAATTTGAAACAAAGAACACGATTTGTAGATGATTATGTGGAGGATTGTCACGTTCAAGTCAACGACTTCGTGGAGAAGCCTGCTTATGGTATTGATGATAATGAGTTAATTACTACGAAACCCCACGGTGATGATGCTTCAATATTTGATGTTGAAGATGATATAGATCGTGATGCGTATGATGATCTAATTCAAAACGAAGACAACAAATTGTTTGTTCAAGAAGTAAAAGGTCCAAAAGTGGAGGATTTGAATTTCGATATCAAAGATAACGAAGACGGTGATGTTGTTGATGTGGCAGACAATGACGACGTGGAAGCCAAAGAAGATGATGTTATGGACTTGGAAAATGATGACATCATTGTCTATATTGAAACCGGCGATGATTTTGTCAACACAGACGTGAACGATGAAGACAGCACCTTGGCAAGTAGAATCAATGTTTCAAATGTTTTTGCAGCTATTTTTGAAGATTGTGATTCACAGGATGATCCACGTCAAGACGAAGGCTCTAGTTTTGATGTTACAAAAGTGGGCGATCTAGTTGATAATGTTAATCCCATAGTTGTCTTCTCTAATGGCTTTTCTCCGGTTCATGATGGTTGTTTAGAAGACGTCAACAACATAGATGTCATCAGGAATCAAGTGGTGGAATACTCAAGACTTTCAACAATTAAATATGAACTAGTCATCACTATTTTTGACAAGGAGGAAGAAGATTCATATATGGATAAGGAAACCCATAAGTATTCTATTTATCTTGCACATCGTCATCAGAAAATCAATGGCGAACCTCCAGATCGTGGTCGAAGCGTGATTTTATTTTTTCACGGTGAGTTAGATCTCTATAACAAGATCTCTGGTACTCGTGTTTCTAATATCTATAAAAGAGAAAATCATTGTTGTAATGATTTATACGGAGAGATACTAGAAGGTGAAGTAATTGAGTTTGCAAAACCCCTCGTATCTTTTCGTCACTGTGGCTCAACTAGAGAGGATTTTCACGTGAGCTACATATCTAATCAACAAGATGAAAGAATCTACGTGTTTAGCTCAAGGATGAAGTTTATGAATTGGGTTTATGGAAACAAAATTCCAATGAAAAATCCATGGCATCAACTTGACGTGTTTGGCGAAAACGTAGATACCATAAAGCACGTTGATTTTTTCTTTTCCATTGGAGAATTGGATATAAAGAAGATGCAGCCAGTGGACTTTTGTGTTGAATGTAGCATAATTATGATGCTATTATCACGTGAGGTTCTCGGAGCATTTTATTTGGCCACCAATTCCATGTGTCTCCATCTCCGTATGTGTGCACTAGTGACAAAAACTTGTGAAGGAGGAAAGGTGTTTCAGTTATTCTTAATGCCCTTTGACTTCGATGTGCGTGACAGAGCATATATTGGGAGAAGTTACTTGAAAGGTTTTGTCGTTGATTACACGCAAATCTTGTGGGAGGTCGCTAATGTTTACACGGCTAAATGGTTACAAGAAATTTTAATGGTGGAAAGGCGCATACAAATGGCAGCATTCCAGATTCAAGTGAGCTTTTTAGTGGGGCTTGACAAAGTGCAAATTGACTCTTTATTGCAAGATTTATTCATTGGACTGCGAACATGTCTTAGATGGAATAGTATCATGTTTTGTCTCATTGAGAAAGATACTGGAGTAGTGTTCAAAGATCACAGTTGCAGCAAAAAGAGTTGCTTTTTAGTTGTTGTGGGTTCTCTTGAGGTAGTACTTGCTGTTGGTGACGTGTCTAAGATCCACCTCCAAGACATCATCGACGAAGAGCTAACATTGTGTGAAGCTTCTACATGGGTAAACAGAGTTGTTCGTCAACTACGCTTGGATTCCAATTACATATTCACGACATTTATTTGTTGGAGTGACTTTGCTTACGAATCAAGAAAGCTGTTGACTTGTGGAAAGTTAAGCTTAGTAGTGCCTTGTTTCTCTACAAATGTTCGTTTCTTGGTAGGTAAGGAGACCACAAATGCGCTTGTTGGTTCGTTGATGTGGAAGTTACATGCTCTCCGCTTGGGTATTAACTCATCGCCTCTTACTCTACCGAAGATCACACACGGAGTCTTAAAGAAGAAGACAAATGCAGTTGATGTTAGGTGGAAGTTATTTGATTCCAGCTTGGATATGCATTCAGCATTTCATCCTCACACAAGGTACAAATCATCAAACGTTAAGAGGCGCGACGTGGTGTTTGACCCATGCGATTTCGTATGCATTTTATTTGCAAATGATGGCCTTCCTCCTCATGAATATCAAAAGGCATCATTTTCACCAAAAATTGAGATCAGCGTCTTCATATTTCCGCAAAGAGTTTTTGAGATAAGGCATGGTGACAAATTGAACTTATCTTTTAGAGATAAACGTACTCGTTTGCATATGTGGCCTACGACAATTGGATGGATATACAAGATCTATGAGATGAGGAGTTTATACAATGAAAACGAGGGTCTTTTGGTCACATGTGTTCAAGGAAACTTGGATGGCCTAATTGTTTTGACGAAGGCTCTTTATGAAGGAAGTCTTAACAAGTTGCACTTGAGGCGGAAAAAGAAAGGCCATGAAGTTCTTATGCGCAAGTATTATGAATTGGTGGACAAAGGATATGTTCAACGATTTAAGATTCGGGTCGAATCTTTCTAACCTGGAGGGACTGATGCAGCGCATCTTCAAGATCGAACGTCGCAAGATTCGAGGACGAATCTTCTCTTACCCGAGGAGACTGATGCAGCGTCATCTATGATACATGGGCTTTTATTTTGGGCTTTTAATTAGTAAATATGTTTATGTTTTTAGATTAGGGTTTTTGTTTATGAACGCCTTATATAAGGCTTAGATTATGCGTTAAGAAGGGGAGCTTTGGATTATTGAATAAACGAGTTTTAAGAGAGCTTTGTGTAAAGCCTAGAGAGGAGGACTCTCAACCCTAAGAGCTTGTGTTCAAGCCCTGCAAGGAGGACTTGCAAAACCCCGTCGATATCGTTCCCTGGAACCGATCTCGACCCTATCCCTATTGCTTCTTCGTCAAGTTTCGACGTTCTAAGTAAGATCCGTTCGTGAATCCGAGTTCTCGTCCGTTATTTAGCTTCCGCTCTCTATCACTTCCCCTATAAAAGTGGCAATTGTTGAAGGTGAACTAGCTATGTGGAATCAAAGAGTAATGTTTTCATCGTTAAACAAAACCATTTCATGAATGCTAAAATAACTCTAAGAACAATTGTGCAAGAGGGATATGCTGAAAGCATTCAACTAAAACAACTACTGAACCCAAGTCGTGAATAGCATTGCAATTACCGATTGAAGCACACGAAGGGAAGGTAAAAAGCAAATGCCAAATCAACTTCAAAGCTGCAAGTCCATGAAATAACATCCACAACATTTTCAATGACGTATTCAAGCGTGTCCGAGATAAAGAACAAACAGAGCTCAAACCAAGCGAAACAAAAACAATCAAAAACAACTAAACCCCAACTAAACATCTTGGTGTTTTGTTGTTTTATTGGGCCGCCGGAGTTTAAATCAAAAATAGTACGACTCTTAATTTAATAAAACTCCCATTATCAAAAAAAAAGAAGTATAATTTCGATGATTTATTGTGCTATATAGCGCATCATTAACGTGCAATATTTCTCAAATCCTTACCACAAAGCTAGAGATGAAAGGAAAAATAAACACATAGGAAATACAAGAAGGAAAAAAATTGTAAATGGAAGGGTTTCTTCGCTTCCTTGCAGCAAAAGCCAAGTCCTCTTCAAGACTTTTGTGTTGCCGTCAATGACGCTAATGACGGTAATCTTTCTAATTTACTATATATACTCCTTAATATCGTACTAATTATGAGATACTATTTACTCTCTAACATTAGTTAAATTATCTAACTAGAAAATGAAGTGTTCGTTTATTTTACATAACATCAATAACTCTACACTTAATACAGTACAGTATACGATTTTCATCTATTTTTCAGTTTCCGTGAATGGAAAATTCTGCAAAGACCCAAAATACGTGAAAGCTGAAGACTTTTTTACCTCTGTACTAAACATTGCCGGAAACACCATAAACCGTGCCGGCTCCAACGTTACAAACGTTAACGTTGACAAAATCCCTGGACTCAACACCCTCAGAGTGTCTCTTGTCCGAATTGACTTTACCCCGGGAGGTCAAAACCCGCCACACACCCACCCACGAGCCACCGAGATCCTCGTGGTTGTCGAAGGAACACTCTTAGTCGGGTTTGTGACATCGAACCAAGACAACAACAGATTGTTCTCAAAGGTTCTTTACCCGGGAGACGTATTTGTGTTTTCCATAGGAATGATACATTTTCAAGTAAACGTTGGGAGAACGAACGCGGTTGCGTTTGCTGGTCTTGGTAGCCAAAATCCAGGTACGATAACAATAGCAGACGCGGTTTTTGGATCGAAGCCTTTGATTATGCCGGAGATGTTAGCTAAAGCGTTTCAGCTGGATGTGAACGTGGTTAGATTTCTCGAGGCAAGGTTTTCTACAAATTATGATTGTCATTATTAACAAGTCTAAAAATGACGGGAAAATGTACCAAAACTTGAATAAGTAGTTTGAATAAAATATGTATTATAGTGTGTGAGAACTAAAATAAAAACAATTAAAACTCTAAAAAAGAAAGTGTGTCTTTTATAGTTTGGTAATAAACACAGAGTGGTAAGGGATGAAGCCAATCTATATATAAATAAGGGAAGTTAGTTATTATTATTTTTTAAAAAATGTTACTAAATACAGCATAAGATGTATTAAGATTGAGTACCTACCTATATGAATTCGTATGAACATCTGAACATGTATGAATTCGTGTTTTGTTTTTGTATGAAACCTGGTTATATATATTCATTTTTAAAAATTATATTCAGTTCTTAATAAAATTTAATTGGTAATAGAAACAATTAAATTTCGAAAAAGTAATTAATTGGTATCCTAATTTTCGAAATTGACCCAGTAGAAACGGAGAAGACCACATGGATTAGATAAGAAAATATCCATTCAATAATATTGAATTATCCTCTCGCCCCCAAACAGTTAAACCCTAGACGAGTTCTCAGATCTGTGGCCGGGAAGTCACTCCGGTGGTCGGCGTTTCTTGTCGTCACCGTGAGTGGCTTCCCATTTTCCTTTCCAGCTTAGTATTGTAGTTTTAAATCGCGGTGATGGGAGGAATAGGGCGGATCTGTTGTTTGCTTCATCTTCTCCGGAGTGGAGGCTGGCTAGAAACGGCGCGGATGCGACCGGCTTTTGGTGAGTCTGAGATTGTGAACGGTTGAGATAAAAGATTAAACAATCCAACGACTATTATTAATTTAACGTATTACGAGTTCATAAATAATTGATGTTAGTTACATATTTTTTTCAGCCAAAATAACTACTTCTTTTGTGAGTTCAATTATGAATTCATAAATAGTTGATGTAAGTCACATAGTTTATGACAATAGTTACCTCTGGCATCATATATCATGAAATCTCATATTATCGTTAATAGTTTATATGGAAATTAAAATAGGTTAGTGCTAGTAAGAAAAACATTGGGATTGACTAAATCATAATTTACAATTTTAAAATCAGGCATTTTTTTCTTAATATTTTTGTTCATTTAAAAAATGTCATATTAGGAAAAGAAATTAAAAAAAAAAAAGCATGCATTAAACCGACAAATTTGGTCGATTTTACCGATTAGTACCAATTTTGAACGTCTAAACCGATTTATCTAATATTGGAACATTCGAAGGTTTATGAATATACGGTGTCTAGTCGCCGCCTAAACTGATATTTTTGTTTTGGTTTATTATACTACACAATGTTCGCGATTGATCAATTTCGGCGTTCTTTGATATTTTATACAATTTTCACAAGTTTGCATTTCAAAAAATTCATAGTTAGTTTTGCCTTTTTTTTTTAATTCATAGTCAGTTTCACGTTGAATGGGTTTCGGAGTTCCACAAAGGAAAACCAATGAGGTCAAAGAACTATCAGAAGATGTTGGGCTTAAGCTTGAGGTTTGCTCTAATTAAAGTTAATATGTTATTAATACCCATTCATTTTCATAACAAATATGTTGGATCATGCGTTAAATATTAGGTGTTTTCTTCTCATCTTTAATGGGTTTTACACAGGTTGTATCTGCGGAAGGAGAAAGCTACATCATTCCAGTCAGTCTAGTTGAAAAGTTCTTTGGTGTGTCTGATCCCAACAGTCAGATTGTTGGCTTCCTCTATGGCTATGAAGAGAGAAAGATCTATTGTACAGTGATTGTGCCACAATGGGAATATCTTCAACAGTTTCACGTTGTTTCACCTATCCCTCAAGATCAGATTCCAGATGGCTTAAAACCAATTGGTTTCATACGTATACAAAGTGAAGAGATAAACACTTTGACGCCTTTGGACATTCTCTTCCACTGCTCACAACATTTGGATGAGAATGCCGTGATTGCCACTTTATCTCTAGCTTTAGAAAGGAGACTGAAGATGTACTAGCTTACTCATGAAGCTTTTCAGTGGGGCATAGCAAACAAAGGCAAAGCATATACCACCATCGACCTGAAGAGCTTTCCACCTCATTTTATGTGACGTTGTTCCTTCCCTTGTCACTTTAAAGGATGCAGGTCACTTCATGGTGAGTGATATTTTGATGTTTCTGTGACACTGACATATTGTGTGCTAATAAGTTTGAATTTTCGCAGGTTCTGATATAAGCTGGAAGTACAACTTACGTGTCTTTGAGCATAGCGAGAAGATGTTATTTGAGGTTGAGCTGGGGATCCAAAACCCTTCTTTCACCCATGTCTTGAACGCTTACACCCTAATAATGCTGGGCTTGAGGTCCGTTACCCATGGGAACTTTTCTTTCTTACTAATCTAGGATTAAACTTATTTCTCCAATTAGAACAAGAGAAAAGTAACTGGAGAAAGGTTTTGGAAATAAATAATCCCTCTGAAACTTGCATCATAAATTATAAACTTTCTTCTAATCTTTAATGGGTTTTACACAGGTGGCTCCTACGGAAGGAGAAAACTACATCATTCCAGTCAGTCTAATTGAAAAGTTCTTTGGCGTGTCTGATCCCAACAGTCAGATTGTTGGCTTCCTCTATGGCTATGAAGAGCGAGAGATCTCTTGTATAGTGATGGTGCCACAATGGAGCTGTCATCAACAAGTTCATGTTGCTTCATCTATCCCTATAGATCATATTCCATATGACTTAAAACCAATTGGTTTTATACGCATACAAAGCGAAGATATAAACACTGTGACTCCTTTGGATATTCTCTTCCACTGCTCACAACATTGGATGAGAATGCCGTGATTGCCATTTTATCTTTGGCTTCAAAGAGGAGTCTGAAGATGTACCAAATTACTCATGAAGCTCTTCAATGGGGCAGAGCAAACCGAGACAAAGACTTTGCCAGTATCGACCCAGAGAGCCTTCCAGCTCAATTATGTGACGTTGTTCCTTCCCTTGTCACTTCAAAGGCTGCAGGTCACTTCATGGTGAGTGATATCGTGCGTTGTGATTTGATGTTTTTGTGTGACCGACATATTGTGGGCTGATAAGTTTGAATTTTCGCAGGTACCTAAAGGCATAAGCTAGAACTACAACGTGCGTGTCTTGGAGCATAGCGAGAAGATGCTATTTGAAGTTGAGATGGGGGATCCAAAACCCTTCTTTCACCCGGGCCATCAGCCCCGGACCGGGCCCGAGGGAAGGAAAGAGAAGGGAAGGAAAGGGAAGGGAAGGAAAGAGAAGAAGAGGAAAGGGAAGAGGAGCAGATAAAACTCAGAGGGATGACAAAAGGAGGAGGGAGCACCCAGAGAAGAGAAAGAAAAGAAACTCAAACCTTCTTGAACTTTTTTTTGTTTCGACACTTAAAACTCCACCTGTAATATTTTTTGGGATCTCTTTTAGTCTATAAGACACTTGTATAAAAAAAATATCAGACAATTGTTAAAGAAAGGGACATGTGTTGTCTAATAGGTTTTGTTGTGGCTCTCTGCTCAGGCATGTTTGCTACTATCGGTTTAGGTAACTGCAAATATATATGCTGATGTTACCATGATTTTCTTTGTATTGTTTTCTCTCAGATACTGCTGTTGCAGAGGCAACTTGCGAGTTTCTTCATGTTTACAAGAATCGATTCAAATTCTCCCCATTGTAGGCTCTACCCAACAATCATCATATGTCTCGACCTATTTGCTACTATTGTGATTTGTGAGAACCGTTGTCCACAAAAAATAGTTATACAGTCCTCTGGTTTCTTTTTCTGTTCCATAATATGTCATCGTGAGATGGTGTTTTTCTTGATCCGGACTCACCAAATAAGCAACTCTCCATTCTATATGTAATGAATGCTTTATGTACTGTTTCAAGTATTGCGTCTCTTTCATATTATGTTATTACATGTTCTGTCATATACATAGCATGTTTGTTTAATCTAAACCTTGTTACAGCTTTATAGAGACATCCATAATCATTGCAACATTTCAGAAAACCCTCTCTTGGAATAGTCAAATCTTTGTGATATAATCTTATCTAAATAGTTCACATATTATCTCAGACTCTCAGTTCTATCGCTGATTCACTCTTGCAGCTTAAATATGGAAGACATTATGGGAATTCTGAAGGATACACAAAAATTTATTTCTCTTAACAGATATGGCAATTAACAAGAGGAAGTGTGGTTAGTAGTAAGATACTTTGTTATGTACATTAAGTGGAAAAATGTAGAATGACTCTAGGCTTAACTTACTACAAGCAGAGGAGTGAGTAGAAGACAAGAGGTATAAAGGCATTGTCTAACTGTGCGGTGTAAGCTTCCAACATCCCGGTGGCTGTCACAGCCACCAGAAGCGACCACCATCCTTGACTTAGTATATAACCCATTGACGCTAATATTGGGACCAGTACAAAGCACACTGCCATCACCGATGTTATTCCCGCTGCTGTTCCTTCAACCGTTTTCTCTGTTCCGCAAACATTTTTTACGCACTTGACAATATTAGTTTCCGATAAAAAGCAATAGTTGAGATTTTTTTAAAGAAAATAAAATGCTTACTTCCGGTCTTGCTCCATCTCAACACCCCATACTTGTGCCCAACCATCGATGCCTGAAGAGAAAATCGTTATAACATAACATTAGAAGAGACTGCAGTTTTCTAAGTTAGTATCTTTGGACCATGTAAGTAGGAGCTAAAAGTTTACCATTGTATCACCAATCCCGAGGCTGAGAATTCCGGCAAATGGGGATAAAGCTCGGTCATTGAACCCAGATGACATCCAAATTGGAAGCGCACACCCAAGCAAGAGTGAGAAGTGGCTATAAAATAAGACATAATAATCAATGGTTATACAAACCAAACAACAAATGTGATAATTCTAGACTGAGTTTTCCCATCCATGGTCTAAACAGTTTTGGCATACCTGACAATCAGATGCTCTGAGTCACGATGGTCCGTGAAAGCATTCATGAATTGATGTAAAGGCTCTCCAAGCGGCTGAATTCTCCAGATCTGGTTTCACAATGAGTATCTTGCATTAAAGCCAATTGAGAGCAATGAAAACTAGATGGTGAGTTATTTCAAAAGAAGGGGCTTACTCGAATGATCTCCAATGCAACAAATACTGCCAATGCTGCACCAAATGCTAGATCGAGAAATTTAGGCTGAATGAAAGACATAAAAATAATAAGAAGCGACTACAGGAGCGGATTAACAAATACAGATTTCTGAGTAGTAAAATAAGTTTTTATTGATCACCAGTCACCTGTAAGACAAGAGCTGGCAAGAACATTAAAACAGCCATCAGATGGTAGTACTTCCGAAGCAAGATTCTCTCAACCTTGCTACTCCTCGAGATGTTATAAAATCGTGACACAGACACAGCGATCAACAGAATCCAGTATATACATAACGAAAGTCTCTTCAGAGGTTCAGAAAAGACAAATGTGAGCACCCTGCGAGAGAGGAGTATTAAAGTTTGATACAATCTTAGCATAAGACAAGTAATTGATAGTAGAAATTTAGTACCATAAAAAGGGATGCTGGTTGAAATCGTGTACAAACTTCATCCAAGAAGGAACAGCCACGACCATAAATAATAGAAGTGAAACAAAGAATAAGACAGATTTTGCAGCATCACTGCAGTTTCTTTGTCGAGCATCTCTCTTCCTCAAAGTGATTCCATATATATGCAGAACGAATCTAAACACCATCGGGAAAAGTAGAAGGCCCAACAGCAGACCCTGAGAAGGAGACAGGTAAGTTGTGCAATACAGTAAAGGCTAATCTCTATTTACTATTATCATACCTGGACAATAATGCCGGTTTCAGTTCTCCTTATTCCATAGCTTATTGAGACAAGATCCACAGGTATCAATTTCTTGAAAATCTGTAACATTCATCAAACCAAAGTTACAGCAACAATGAAAGCACAAAAATGCATGACCTGTTCAAAGATTGAAAAACTAAAGTATTCTAACCTTTGCAATTGTGCATGCCAAAAAGTCGCCAAAATAGAGAACAAGACCACTGGTCACGAGAAGTGCTTCCCCTATTAAAAAAGTGGCATTAGTTGGAAGGTGAAACAGAAATATGTGGAATCAAAAGAGTAAAGTTTCAATTGAATCCAGAGTTCCATAGAGACAAAACCATTTCATGACTGCCAAAGTGGCTCTACGAACAACTGTCTAAGAGAGATACTCTGAAAGCATACAACTAAAACAACTACTTAACCCAAGTCGTGAATAGCATTGCATTACCGATTGAAGCACACGAAGGGAAGGTGCAAAGCAAATGTTGAATTAACTTCAAAGCTGCAAGGCCGTGAAATAACATCCACAACATTTTCAATGAAGTATTCAAACCTGTCGAGATAAATAACAGACAGAGGTCACCAATGGAAACCAAGCAACACAAAAAGACATTCAAACAACTAATAACCCAAAACTTGATCTTACCAGTGTGTGAAATCATGGAAAGTGAAACAAAACATGCTACTCCATACAACACTGTCCCAGTCAAGCTAACTCTCATAAGCCAAACAGACGACGACGACAAAGATTCAGCATTTCTCGCTTGTGACATAATCACTGATAGATATATAAGTATAGCACAACAGCTCGCTGATGCTGCCCAATAATGCATTGTCACATGCGCAAGCTCTACACAACAAATCAAATCAAAACATGTTTATGATTTAAATACTAACATTAGACCAATACAAAAGCTGTGAAAGTTACCATCTTGTTCAGCTTCATGAATTGAGATAGCTCTTGAAAGCTGAACCAACTTAGAAATCATAACAGAAGGAAGTGTTACAGCTCCTAATAATATCCCTGAAGAAGCACCACGTCTACAATTTTTCGAAACAACAAACACATCTTCTTCAATTGAAATATTTTTCCCAAAAGATTGAAACTTTATTGATTCTGAGATCGAGACTTTGAAATTAGATTAAGGGTATTTCACCTGGAGCTGAAATGAGAGAGAAGGAAGGGAGAAGTCTCGACGCGGATCTCGACGAGGAAGGCGGATAGAGAGAGGAGGAAGAGGGAGAAGCCATGGGAGATTAGTGATAAAGGAAGAGATAAGAGGATACGAGAAACTACGACTGCTACTACAACTCTCTCTCCTGTTACAAACGACGTCGCCGTTGTCTTCATCGCCGGAGATGATGATGATTTCGCCGGAGATTTGTTGTTTATTAAGGCGCGATTGTTTCTTGTTGGTTTGTTGTTTCATTGGGCCGCCAACAAAACGTGACTTGTGTGTAATTGGGCCCACCAAACACGGTTAGGCACGGACTTTAAGGTCACGCTTAATTTTCCACGTGATAATAAAAGTCAATTTGATCGGTTGGTTCGGTTTGATTCGGTTTAGTTACGGTTATTGAAATTAGATTTTTAGTCCGTTGAGTGAGAGACTTTGTGAAGATAACACAGGTAACGAAGTGATGAGAGGAGAGAAATGATAATTCCTCTGTTGTGACTTTGTGATGGAGCTTAGTCTCAAGCTGCAATCTTTTTCATTCCCTTCGTCAGTTTCAAGTAAGCTGAACAAAACCCTGATTCTTAATTTTGTTTGTTTCGCCGTTCTCTGAAATTTGGATGTACCATTTATTGGATTTGACCTGAGAAATTTGACGGGAAAAAAGCAAAAAGTTCTTGTGTTTCTGATGATGAATCGAGTTAAAGCATTTTCGACAATCTAATTTAGATTAATTTCGAGTTTTGGTTTTAAATTTGTTTGATCTTCTTAGTTTCTAATGGAGCTTGGAGCAGTTCAAGCTTTGGTAGTTACTTACCTTAGAGTGTTTTATTACATGGTGGAATTAAGGTTAAATTGTATTACGACGAATTAATTAAGTTTCATGATTTTAATTTGTGGATTCATGACTAAACACTACTGTCTGATTCATATTAGCTTTTAGCCTTGACCATTTCACTCACTTTTGAGGTTTTGTTTGTTGTTTTTGAAGGTGTTAAGAATGCGAGGTTCTTAAAGACGGTTTCTTTGTTCGATTTGAAATCATCACAACATAATAATGCTAAGAGATCATTAACAGTGAGTCCTGCTTTAGCTGAAACAGCTGTTTCTATAGCGATTGCAGCCACGGTTGTTGGTACTGCAGCTACTATCCTTGCACGGAGAAGTTCCAAAGCCGCTGAAGAAGCCGAGGTATTTTGTCTTAGTATATGATCCATGAATACAATCTACATTGGTTTTTCTTGGTTAAACTTGAGGATCATTATTGTTTAAATCTCGCTGTGAACTGAGTTTCAGGCTTCTATGAAAGAATGTGAAGCTTGTCTCGGTTCGGGAATTTGTCCTGAATGCAAAGGTGAAGGATTTGTACTAAAGAAACTATCAGATGCAAATGCTGAGAAAGCAAGACTTACAGCCAAAAATATGGCCACGCGATATACAGCCGGGTAATAATAAACTCCCTCTTGATTCTTCCCACTTTTTTCTTGAATTGATTCTCAAGTCTCATCAAACACACATTTTCAGGCTTCCCAAGAAATGGAGCTACTGCACAAAATGTTCGTCCACACGATCTTGTATAACATGTGGTGGGAGTGGAAAGACAAGCATCTAGCACCTTATGCAGAGTACACAAGTACGTTAAACTCTTTTTCTTTGGGAACCTAATTCAATATTTTAGCATAACTTTCTTGTTTTGTTTTAATTTATGACAGACTCTGCAATGTTTGAAAATTCTCATCAAACTTTAGTTTTATATTTTCAAGATTCATGCGTCATACTTTCTTCTTACTCTTTCCAGATTCTTTTAATGCGACGTAAAGATTACTAAAGTCAATTGCTTCTTCTTTGGTCTTTGTCTGTATCGCTATGACGTCTCTCCAAGAAAGAAAGGTTTCTTCATGTAGACTCTTTATGGTATTAAGGTATGACTAGTTGCGCCTCAAAACACTCGTCTCATTTTCAGCATTTGATCGATTTCTTTAAATTAGTAATGTGATCTTGGAAGACTTTTAAAGACACGGCTTGTTGATAAAACAGAAAGAAAATTGATGCATAAGCCTTATATCAAACGGCATTTTACATCACGAGCACCGGGCTCACTGAACCTCACTTATCAAGTCAGGATCTTACTCGGTACATCTTTCATAAGAGGAACATAAAACAAGGAAATATAAAGCTAAGTTTGATGGTTATTTATATGTGGAAAAAGATGTAATGTGACTATCCTTCACTAGACATGAGCCGGAGATCCAGTTTCCGGCGTTGGAATATCAGCCAACATCGCCTTGCGGCCTCTCTCTGACCGGCTGTTTTCAGCAAACTTAATGCTTCCCTCGTGTAGCCCTAAGCTCTTCTCTTCCTCTGTCCATTCCGCTCCATAGTAATGCTCCTCCTTTGATATCTCTCCGTCTTGCGATGGCCTCAAGAACATGCTTCCCCACTGCGGAAAATGTATAAACGCAACCGGAAGGGAACACACAACAGCCATAACACCCATCAAGGATAGTCCTTCAGCTGTACTAAACCTCGACGAGGAGAAGAAAAGAAGTTGAGTAACTCCCGACCCGAAATTTCCTCCAGCACCAGTTAATCCCGAGATAAGCCCAAGAGAACGGCGAGAAACAAAAGGGGCAACACCGAAGAGAGCTCCACAAGCCGCTTGTGTGCCGATGGAAAAGAGCATCATGGCTAAGATAGCTATAGGGAGTGAACTAGCACGACCAAGCCAAATACAGAACAAAGCTCCAACGGTTTGTAAGATCCACAAGATCCATAACCGGCCCCTCATACCGAAGAGCCGTGCAGCTACATCTGAAGCGTAGCCACCGAAAGGACGGGCGAAAAAGTTTGCCATACCAAAGCTGGCTGCTATAATACCAGCTGTGTGAAGTGTAAGGTTAAACCTATCGTAGAAGTATCCAGATATAACGTTGTTGATGGTTAATTCAACTCCCATAGAAAATCCATAGAGCATGAATAAGACCCATGTTCTATAGTTTTTCACAGCGAACCAAAATACCTATAAAACAAAACAAAATGTAATTAGAACCACATGCATTATTGCTTTAGTATTATCTTAAATATTGATCATGTTTAATATATTGTTATTATTAATTACCTTGGAGAATTTGTCTTTGGAAACTTGACCACTCTTTTGGAGAGTACTAAGGTTACCGTCAGGGAGATCTTGGCCGAGAGTGAGAACGAGAATACCCATAATGATCTGAAGAATGCCGGGGATGAAGAAGGCGAACCTCCACGCCGTGAAGGGAGTGGCTCCGGTGAGTTTGATGACGTGGAAGACCATTGGCATGAGTAGCTGAGTCACTCCTCCTCCCATGTCTCCCCACCCTCCAGCACATCCGTTAACGAGTCCGATAATCTTTCCAGAGAACATAACGCTCGTCCAGTACTGGCATGATACGAACGTCGCTAAGCAAAAACCGATCATGAACCGCACGGCTAAGTAACTTCCCGCATCAGCTACGAACGACATAGAGAAAACAGCTGGAGCCGTGAGCATTAGAGAGAAGGCGGTTCCGTAACGTGCTCCTAAAAGGTCACATACGGCACCCATAGCGAGTCTAGAGAAAATGGCGCCGGAAACTGATGCAACTCCGGCATTTCCGATGTCAGTTTTGGTCAGGTTAAGGTTGTCGCGGATGACGGGGACTAGAGGTGCAGCCGCAAAGGTGGAGATGAAGCAAGTGAAGAAAGAGATCCATCCTAAGTGGAAGGCTCTCATGTGTGGTTTGGCGAATGATAATGGTTTGAACACTTTTGCCCTATGCTCGGAGTCCACTGGTAAGGCAAACTTAGCCGTTGGATCGTCTGATCGGACGGCTTGAGACGAAGGGCCATCTTCATGGACGGAGAAGGAGAAGACTTGCTCCCTTGCCGTGACTCCATGCAAAGAGGTTCCAATAGAGCCGTCTTCATTAGAATGGTTATGAGCCATATTGATCTTTAGTTCAAAGAAAATGGGAGAAGTTAAGAGAGAAGAGACTTCAAACGATGAAGAAGGTTTTCTTCTTCTTTGTCGCCTTTGTTGTTTTTCTGTTTTTGGTGTAAGTTGGAGAAGAAGAGTTGTCTACTATTTATAGAGAGATGAATACTCCTTTGGACATGATGGGTAACGTTAGGTGGATCCAATGATAACATTTCAATAATACTACGTGAAATGAATAATATATCCTCCATATATTATTTTTGGTGATTTTATTAAGAAAAGTGATGGCATGTCGCAACTAAGTTGATTTTTTATATAAAAATATATGACATTGTTTTGTAAAAATATTGCAGAAATTTTCATTAGAAAATAATTAAAATAGAAATAGAAATATGTTTAAATGTTCATGTAAAAAATTTGCTATTTAGAAGAGATTTGTAATTTTTTTTCTCTGTTTGATTGAAAATTAATAATATAATCTTCTAATTTTAGTTGATGCTCACAAACAAATATGTTTTCTGTTTGATTGAAATGAATAATATTTATTAATATTATAACTTTTTTTCTTAACACTTGACTTATTAATATTATAACTTATCAGAACTTATTTATACATATAGTGTCGAGGGCTCCATAATTGTTCACACGGAGAAGAGAATATCCTATTGTAACTAAGCATATGTAGTTTACACATAATGCAAATTACGTGCTCCATTTACTATTAGTATTAAAATGTTTATAACTTAATGATGTCAATACATTTCATTGATTAATTACTTGTACCATATATCTCTATCAAGTCAAGACATTTATGGCTTTACATGTCAACCCCTTATTGTGATACATGGTGTATCGTTTTTATAATTACCAATCATAAAAAACGATATCAAAAACATTACTAAAAGTATTTTTTCAATTTTTTTTTATAGTTTTCGTATATCACTTTTGTTTATAGTTTTATATTATTCTGTAACAATTTATCCCTCCAAGTTAAATAACTCGTACAGTTTTTATTATTAATCGAATGGAATAAATTCAGTAGAACAACGTGTCTCTTTCACCGCCGGCTTAGCGTCCATTTCGTAGCTAATGTACAACATGTGTCTACCTAATGCATGGATGTTTCCAGCTACTATAATAGTATTATTTAAAAATATTATTTTATTTTTTGTTTAAATTTATACATTATATATAAATATGGGAAAATTAGATTGGGTACCACATTTTGCCCAAAAGTTATCACTTCTACCACATTTGAATCCCAATTATCATTCATACCACATTGTGTTTGTAAAATGACCATTTTACCCTCCAACCGGTGAGATAAGGAACTGCAGTTGATGTGACCTTTCGAAACAAAGTTGTCCCCGAGTAAATCCAGATCTTCGTCTTCGTCCCCGAGTAAGTAAACGAGGAAGATCAACACTGTTTGCTTTCATTTCAATCCAGATATTCGTCTTCGTCCCCGAGTAAGTGAACGAGGAAGATCAACACTGTTTGCTTTCATTTCAATCCAGATATTCGTCTTCGTCCCCGAGTAAGTGAACGAGGAAGATCAACACTGTTTGCTTTCATTTCAATACTCGACAAATGAACCATCTCATTCCATGGTGGCTCGATTGAATTAGCTTGGTAATCGTGAATTATCATCGGCTCTGAATTCTCGTCGTCGTTTTGGTTTGGGACATTGAATCTGAGAGTTAGCTCTTGGATTTTTTTTGAAAACTCTTCGTCGGAGAATGAATCTAAATTTGCGCTATAAACTCTTCGAATCGAATGAGTTTTGATCGGTCTAGATGATGATGATGATGATGATGATGATTCCCATAGCTCACAGGATTTGGAGCCGTGAAGCTTCGTCGACGGAGTTCCGAAAAAATTGTCCCCGAGTGTAATAAAATTTGTCCCTGAATGTAACAAAAATTGTCCCCGAGTGCAATTAATGCAGCTGTCCTTTTTTCTGACACATCAGTCTGTCGCCATCAAGGGCAAACTCGTCCATAAATTATCACATAGCAAAAAAAGTGGTAGAAACAGAAAACCTTTTCCAATTGTGGTAGATTTCAAAGGGAATCGTCAGAAAGTGGTACATTTGCCAAGATTCCCTATAAATATAGTAACTTTACATTAATATCTTCGATCGTCTTTTTTGTTTTGTGAAAGAGTCAACAAAGTACAAGAATATCTTAATAGAGAGAATAGAAATACAAATGTTTGACACTTGACATCAACCAAAAGGTCAATGAGAGTTATGAGATCGTACGGTTCATTGTAGAAACTTCATTCTTTTAAAAATAATTTCAGTTTTGTCATTTGTGTATTATCCCATGCATGTGGTCGACTCATCAAATTAATTTAAATTTTGGTAAACTTCAAGTTTTTTTTTTTTTTTTTAATAAACTTCAAGTTATATCAAACTTTATTCTAAAATTCATGGACAATTTTTTGCTTTCAGTTATCCAATAAGATATCAAAAATTCGTGATCTTTATTTATTTTGAGGGGTTTTCAACTAGCTCGATCATTTCTTATTTTGAACGTAAACTTATATTTAAGAGCAACTCAAATTGCAGAAATCAAAATTTTGGCAACAAAAGAGCTAACGAAGCAACAACAATATTAGAAAGTTATCAAATGAATTGTTTGTATCGATAAGTTGACTTTCTTCATATCTTCCTCAATCTCCGTACCATCTAGATCAATCTTTATTAGTTTGCACACTATATCTGAATATAAGCCATTATATTCGATTTTTCTTTTAAATGAAACAATAGTAACAACTATATGAAAACTTAAACTCAAAACTCAAAACTCAAATTACATTTTATCAAACTTGGATCAGTAGGAGAACATCTAACAAAATTTTGTAATTAAATGTTTCTTTTGTCTTCTTATTTTATTCTGCGTTTCACTCGTAAGCAAGTAAAGAAAGTCCAATCTTTATAGGTAAAGAAAATTCCAATAATGCGGGACAAGTCAAACAAAAAACTCTTAACCATTGATCATTCATCGGGATGGTAGTTGACTTGTATAAAGTTTTTCGCTTAAAGTAGTTGCAACTTGCTCGATTTCTAGTAATAATATTATATTCGTTTCAATGTTTGTGAATTGACAATGTTATCAAAAACATACAGAAACAATGGTAGCTTTAGAGAAAATGTGGTTGTTTTCACGAGATTTCTAATTGTCCGATATTCCTATACAATAGTTTCAAAACTGGTCCTATATATCTACATATATATACCTTGTTTAATATATGGTCTAAGTGTGATTTGTGATTTTTTTTATCAGACAAAAAAAAGTCTGCTACTTACAATTTTTATAGTTCAAAAATCGCTGCTTATATTACGGCAAGTTTCACGTAATAATCAACGTGGGGATGTTTCAGCAGAAAAGTTAGAAAAGTGGGTTGATGATGCTTATCGTCGTGGTTTCTGATAGGCGTACTTTACATTAATGATAATTTATTTGACTTATATTAAGTAATATCAAAGTCGTACTTATGACTTGTTACTAATTTAATACCGTACAGATCACAGCTGTTTTTTTTGGCTTTCTTCTCCTGTTGACGTGGAAGATGTACGGGCCTCTGACTATGATCCTCATCATTCAACACATCTGAAATTGATACACGTCTCTGTACTTTTTTGATAAAGTTTTTCCTTCACACTTTTCGTAGCTCTCTGTACTTATGTCTGCGAAAGTTTTTTCAACTGTGGGACTTATCAAATGTTAGACACTGTTTATTTAATGGGATTTTGGTCTAATGTGCCATATACTGTAACAAAACTTACAGAAATTGCGACAAAAACATTTGTCTTTCCAAATGTGCCATAATGGTAGACAAGACTTTGAAACGAAAATTTTTGGTAGACAACAAATGTTGTCCACCTTTGAAACAACAGATTGGAAAGATATTTGGTGGACAAAAAATCTTGTCCACCTTTGAAACAACAAACTTTTGGTAGACAAGAATTCGAAACGACATACAAAAATTTTGGTAGACAATAAATGTTGTCCACCATTATGGCACATTTGGAAAGATTTATGTTTTGTGGCAATTTTGCTAAGTTTTTGAACAGTAAGTGGCACATTAGTTAGATTTCTCTTATTTAATTGCGCAGCACCTCTATTTGGCCGTCCCTTCGGTGGCTACGCCTAGAAATTTTTAGTTATATAAATAAAAATAATAATTTTGACGGATAATAATGTACCGTTTTAACGATTACCAATCATAAAAACAATATCAAAACGTTATAGAAAACGTTATTTAATTTTCAATTTTTCATACTGTTTTTAACTATTATAGTATCGTTTACCGTTTTTTATCCACTAAAACATTTATACCAATTTGTGTCACTACTGATATTGCGTTCATTTCTAAATTACGACTTTAGTTTAAATATTACCGACAATACGTGATTACAAATATATGTTTCATAAACATAACATGCAAGAATGGGTTTGAAATTCACGTTTGTTGGTCCATCATGTCATGGTAGTCCAAACTAATCTAACACTTTGTCATGGTCAATAAAGTACAAAACTTAAAATACGGCTATTATGTTGACACCAAACCAATTTACAGTAGTTTATAAACTAACTAGATATGGACCCGTGCTTTGCACGGATTACGAGTCGAGATTATCATTCTTAATATTTTTATTTTATTTTTGTAAGCTTAATTACTAAAATTCTATAAACATATATATTTTAGAAAATGCAGCATAATTATTTGTAAATATAGATTTATTAGCATAATGCGCAATATAAAACATTATTTGTAGTTATGTTATACTAATTATTAAATTATCTAATATAAATGTTGGCCTATTTATAAAATTATATAATTCTTTGCTTGTTATAAGTTATGAAGTCATAAATATTCATATGTTGTATTATTGAATTTTAATAAGTTATTTACATCCATCAGAAGAGTGTGTCACATCTTATAATTTCAATGTGAGCAAGATGGAAATAAAACTATGACAATAAAAAAAGATAAAACTATATAGTTACGTAAATATATGAACGATATATGTATAATATGTAAACATATAGTATGAGATACGTAAATATATGATTTTGTTTAGAAAAGTTTGACGTCGTAATAAAATTGTATGACAA